CATTCCCTATGAATCAACTCAACCCTAGAGAAAAACAAAACAAAACAAATTGAAACTAGACCTTTCTAGCCATACGACTCTAGCTAATTTTGAACTTATATTTTGTTCTAAGAACTTGAGTTTACAAGTCATTTGAAAGGTAATTAGTATTTAACCTAGTTTCATCATATATGTTAGTCATATTAAGATTATGAAGATCTCTGAACCTCAATCCCCCATTTGACTTAGGTTTATAATTTTTCTATTATGCTATAAGATGATATTTCTTAGCTCTAAGAGACTCCAAATAAACTGCTTACAAATATTATTAATTATATTACAAACTAAAAAAAGGATCAAATAGGTTTGCATCAGATAATTGCAAATATTCATAATACAAAATTGAGTAAGATTAACCCTACTAACTAAAGATAATGAATTTATTTCCCAAAGAGATCAATTTTTTTTATAGTCTCATCAATGAGAAAAGAAAATTTTTACCTAGAAGGCTTATGATGCTTAATTAGGATCTCTAGATAATTACCAAAATACTGAGAAGATTATATACTTAAGGAATCACAAGTAGAATTAACAAGGCAACAATTTGTACTCTTAAAAAAAAAAGAATATTTGTCTTTATTAACCATTTGTTCAAAGGCCAAACATAATTCATGTAAAAATTATTTTAATTAGATCAACTTGTTATAGATCAAATTTAACTACTAATATAATATCCAAAGCAAAAAAATAAGTGAGAGATTTTTGGTCTTGGAACCAAGGAAAAAAGCACTAATCCTAACTAGAATCTCATCCTTGATTAAATAACTTAATCTCTTAATACACATGACAAAAATATAGAAAGAAAGGGAATCCTCATGCTTAATCCTTCTAGAAGGCCTAAAAGAGCTAGTAATACTATTGTGTCAATTTAAACTTATAGAGGAGGATGAAATACAATGATGGATAAGATTAATAAAATTTAACTACTAATATAATATCCAAAGCAAAAAAATAAGTGAGAGATTTTTGGTCTTGGAACCAAGAAAAAAAACACTAATCCTAACTAGAATCTCATCCTTGATTAAATAACTTAATCTCTTAATATACATGACAAAAATATAGAAAGAAAGGGAATCCTCATGCTTAATCCTTCTAGAAGGCCTAAAAGAGCTAGTAATACTATTGTGTCAATTTAAACTTATAGAGGAGGATGAAATACAATGATGGATAAGATTAATAAAATTTAACTACTAATATAATATCCAAAGCAAAAAAATAAGTGAGAGATTTTTGGTCTTGGAACCAAGAAAAAAAACACTAATCCTAACTAGAATCTCATCCTTGATTAAATAACTTAATCTCTTAATATACATGACAAAAATATAGAAAGAAAGGGAATCCTCATGCTTAATCCTTCTAGAAGGCCTAAAAGAGCTAGTAATACTATTGTGTCAATTTAAACTTATAGAGGAGGATGAAATACAATGATGGATAAGATTAATAAAATTTAACTACTAATATAATATCCAAAGCAAAAAAATAAGTGAGAGATTTTTGGTCTTGGAACCAAGAAAAAAAACACTAATCCTAACTAGAATCTCATCCTTGATTAAATAACTTAATCTCTTAATATACATGACAAAAATATAGAAAGAAAGGGAATCCTCATGCTTAATCCTTCTAGAAGGCCTAAAAGAGCTAGTAATATTATTGTGTCAATTTAAACTTATAGAGGAGGATGAAATACAATGATGGATAAGATTAATAAAATTTGTAGTAAGACACACTCTATGAAAAGTATCACTAATAAATTTTCATCTAAGCCTATTATAGGCCCTTTCCAGATCAAATTTCAACATTATATAATCATTAATCAGTTTTACTCTTCTGTTTATTAAAGGAATGTAACAATTCTTGAAAAATTATAGTATTGTCAATCACCTTCCTACTAGGGATACAATTACAATGATTTTTAAAAATTAAGTATGTTAAATAATCTATTGACCAAAATTTTAGTAATTATTTTGTAGCTAATATTACATAAGGAATTAGATATGAAATTGTTAATTTTTCAAGATTTTTAGACTTCAAAATAAGAATAATCACTATTTCATTCACACACAAAAAATTTATGATTATATCCTAAACAAATTTTTTTAAAAAAGATAAAAATTCATTGATTTTTAGGGAAAAAAATGGTATAAAGGCCATTAGCCTAAGAGATTTGAAGTTACTAATGCAGAATAATACAACTTTAACTTTATATGTGGTCATATCCTAATATAACATATCCCTATCCCTAAGAGGAAGAAACAAATGATGGTTATCTAGACAGAAAGTATGGACTACGACATGATACAAATTGTTAAAATAATTCAAGGCAATTACTTTAAAGAAAAAAATCTATTTTATCCTTTATATGTTTAGTAACGTGCAATTTAGACATTAACTTTTGAATGTGGCAATGCGACACCCTATACTTTCAAAAGTGTGCAAAAAAAACTCTTTCATTATTCAGACATCTATTTTCTCTATTTTTTGAACAAAAATATCTCCAAAAATGTTTTTCACCACAAAGAGAAGGGAGATTAGGAATTTGGGGATATTTTGTCTAAGAAACATATAAATTGAACATCTGAATGATAAAAAGATTTCTTTGCATAGTTTCAAAAGTATATGGTGTCACATTACATAATTTTTAAAAATCAGGTTGTAAATTGCACATGACCAAATATATCTAGGGATAAAGTGCACTTTTTCCTTACTTTAATTTTAGCAAGATCATATTCTCATTTACCATTTTTATCCTTCAAGGCTTCAATTGTATTATTCTACCTAAGATAAATAGCAGCTTTATATAAAACATTAGTATTCCCATTAGAGGGTTTTCTATTTAGACCTAAAGTCATTATATCAAAAAGTTTCCTCCTTATCCATAATTTATTGATAATTTATACATAGATCTCACAAGATCCGAGTAAGGATTGTCACCATAGGTAAGTTTTTAAGAAATACCTTCAGTTCTATTAAAAATTTATTTTTCTATTAAAAATATTACTAAATGCATGTCTATTTGAATAAAATATATTAGATCTAAACTTGCCTATGTTCTTTGTCAAAAAGCTAGAATTCAACCAAGAATTCCTCACTTGACTAAGTAACAAGGATTTTAAAACGTTTATCATACCTATAAGAATAAACTATACTTCTAATTTTAAGTCACAAAATATCATGATCATGTTTTAGAATAAAGATTATGAATTATATAACTATTGTAGAATGAGAGCCCTTAAAACTCTTTAGGTACAATCCTACTAACTCTTTTCTTAAGATTTCTCTTATGCCACGTTGATTTCAACAATCAGTAAATTCTTAATAGAAGTCAAGTTAACAATACCTTCTCCACTTTTCTAAAATAATTTGAGGACTATCATTAATCATAAACAAAGGTCACTCTTTTTAACTAAACTTACATACTTTTAAATGAATGATAAATTTGATTTTCAAAAGAATATAAACTTTAATCCTATTAGAATTTTAAAGACATCAAATTCTACATGAAAAATAATGACATCTAATTTCTCAAACTCATCTAAATTATTATTTTTTAATTATCATGTCAACTTTCTCTTTATTAATCCTAGATTCATAAAGAGCAATAAAATTAAGGTTGTAAATAATATAAAAATCATTAATTAACTTTAAAAAAAATTTACTCTTTGCACGCTTACAATTTTAAAAGTAATTTTAGTTAAAATTATTTTACTTTAATACTTTATTTATAAATATTAAATTTTATTAATTTAATTATTAAATAATCCAATATCAATAAATTGATGTGTATATTAAATTTTAGATAAATTTAATAGGTATAAATTTTTTTGACAAATCTTTATCAATATCTTAAAAATATATATTATTTATTAAAATAAAATTATCCAGTCAACAGTCAATTAAATTTTACTTTATAAACTTAATATATTTAAGAATAAATTTTTATTTAATAAATAAATTGATACAATTTAATAATTATGTCAGAATAATATATATACATATAAGTAATAAAATTATTTAGTAAATTTGTTTAAAAAAATATACTGAGTTTCTTTTTATCTTCTAATTACATAACTATGCAAACTTTACACAAGGACAAAATTATAATTTTAATAAAAAATCATAATTTTCTTTAGGAGGATACCTAACTATATAAATACCCAACCTGGTTAATACTTTCTATTGCCGTAGAAATATGTGGTGAATAGAAGCACCTTACTTACATCTGCACATTAGATAAACATAAAACAATAACATGCATTGGGGAAACCTTTAATTTTTAAGCCTAATACTTATCTTTGACTTTAATATATAATAATTATGATATATTTTAAATTTAATTAAAATATATCTTTAACTTTTTATTTTTAAAATGTTTTTTTTACCATATATTAAAATCAGGTACCCAATAATTGAACTCCTTAGCAAAGAAGGAGTTGGATGGGGCCGGAGAATCTTTATCACATCATCTGATATATGTGTGATACGTGTCAACTCTCAAGTACACATATATTATCTTACATTTTTAAATTTTTTTACTGTTTAATCATTATTAAAATATTTATATAATTTGTATTAATTAATTATAATTAAATTTATTAAGGTTTAGTTATTTTAATTATGACACTTAAGCAAGTACAAATGTACGGATTGTATAGTTATCTTCCTTTCGTTTCTAACGATCTATTTGATAAGCGTTTCGATTTTCTTACATCCCTTTAATATTTTTATTCATGAATAATATAAACGAAATATTATTATTCATGAAATTATCACTAGGTTTTATTAACTAATTAAAAATTAAATTTGATGATTAAAGTTTTAAAAAATAACAATATAAAACACATAAAGAGAATTAAGTGGATAATTTTCTTTTTTTTTCATGGCTAAATATTTACATTTCCCTGTATTGCTTTTTCAATTAACCAACAATAAGAAGTCAGTCAACACAGCAGAGCTTCATTCCCACTTCCTTCTTCGAAAAACACAGATCTTCCATTTTCCAATGCTTTAACATCCCCAATCAATATTCTTCACGCTTCTTTCCACACACCTTCCTCAATATTATCTCTCACCCCTCTGTTTCTTTTCAATCGCTACAAATACTCGCACTGTCTTACTTCTTCTTCGTCTCTCCCTTCCACTCTCAACCCTCCTAAATCATTAAGCTCTGCCTCTGCCATGGCAACCATCAGACACAAAGCCATAGGCATTGACCTAGGCACAACCTACAGCTGCGTGGCAGTATGGCAACACAACCACGTTGAAATCATTCCAAACGACCAAGGCAACCGCACAACCCCTTCTTATGTTGCCTTCACCGACACCCAAAGGTTGTTGGGTGATGCTGCCATCAACCGAACCATCAATCCTCACAACACCGTTTTCGACGCCAAACGTCTGATCGGTCGGAGATTCTCTGACAAATCCGTTCAGCAAGACATGAAGTTTTGGCCTTTTAAGGTTGTCCCTGGAATACGAGACAAGCCCATGATTGCGGTCACTTACAAAGGCGAAGAGAAACACCTTGCAGCCGAAGAGATATCCTCCATGGTGTTGTCCAAAATGAAGGAGATCGCTGAAGCCTATTTGGGTCATGAAGTTAAGGACGCTGTTATCACTGTCCCTGCTTACTTCAGCAACTCACAGAGACAAGCCACCAAGGATGCAGGGAAAATCGCTGGTTTGAACGTGATGAGGATCATCAACGAGCCAACCGCAGCTGCTATTGCTTACGGGTTGGATAAGAGGGTGTGGAGAGAGGATGAACAGAACGTGCTTGTGTTTGATCTTGGTGGTGGCACTTTTGATGTTTCATTGGTGACGATTGATGCAGGGATGTTTAAGGTGAAGGCCACGGTGGGAGATACCCATCTGGGTGGCGTGGATTTTGATAACAAATTGGTGAACCATCTGGTGGGTGTGTTTAAGAGGAAGTATAACAAGGACATTAGTGAAAATGCCAAAGCTTTGGGGAGGTTAAGGTCAGCATGTGAGAAAGCTAAGAGGATACTGTCTTCGAGTTCCCAAACCACTATTGAGCTTGACTCTTTATGTGGAGGGATTGATCTAAATGCAACTGTTACGAGGGCGTTGTTCGAGGAATTGAACAAGGACTTGTTCATGAAGTGCATGGAGACAGTAGAGAAGTGTCTCGTTGAGGCAAAGGTTGAGAAAAGGCAAGTGCATGAGTTTGTTCTCGTAGGAGGGTCTACTAGGATTCCAAAGGTTCAACAACTTCTAAAGGACATGTTCCGTGTGAATGGAAGAGTGAAAGAGCTTTGCAAAAGCATCAACCCCGACGAGGCTGTGGCATATGGTGCTGCGGTTCAAGCAGCGATTTTGAGTGGGGAAGGAGACAAGAAAGTGGAGGAGCTGTTGTTACTGGATGTGATGCCACTTAGTCTTGGCATTGAGACTGATGGTGGTGACATGTCAGTGTTGATTCCGAGGAACACCATGATCCCCACCAAGAAGGAGAGCGCTTTCTCTACCTCTTCTGATAATCAAAAAAGTGTGTTGATCAAAGTGTACGAGGGAGAGCGGGCTAAGACAGAGGAAAATTCTCTTCTTGGGAAGTTTGAGCTATCTGGGTTCAGTCCTGCGCCAAGAGGAGTCCCAAATGTCAATGTTTGTTTTGATGTAGATGTTGATGGCATTGTGGAGGTCACCGCGGAAGACAGAAGCACGAGGTTGAAAAAGAAGATCACCATCAGCAACAAGCAGGGAAGGTTGAGCCCGCAAGAGATGAGAAGAATGGTGAGAGATGCTGAGAGGTATAAGGAAGAGGATGAAGAGGTGAAGAAGAAAGTGAGGGCCAAGAACTTGCTTGAAAATTATACTTATGAAATGAGAGACAGAGTGACAAATCTTGCAAAGGCAGTGGAGGAGACCATAGAATGGCTTGACAGAAACCAATTGGCTGAAACTGATGAGTTTGAGTATAAGAAACAGGAGTTGGAAGAAAGGGTCCTCAAAGTTATGTAATGGTAATTTTTTCTGTTCATGTTTACTTTTAACCGAGTCCGAAGCAATGTAAAATAATTCTAGCTTCGTTACTCAATCAAACAAGCCTTTTGAGTTTGTCAATGAGCTTCTCTGATCTCGTTTATGTACAACATGTGGAAGTACTTAAAAGTAAGTAGTATGGATGCAAGGAATGTTGGTTTATGATCTTTGTGATTGTGTTTGTGGAACGAAGTACTCATAATTCCCATTCATATTCATAATCCAACACGAAGTCTTGTAAGGACCATCAAGCTTCTTAATTAAGATAAGAATTGAGAGACTGGGTTTTTCACCTTTTTACATAAGCATCATTTCCATTTTTGGTCAAGGTATTTGCTGTGGCTATGCCTTGGGTACTAGTTTTCATTATCTGATTTGATAAGTAGATGGAAAAAATAATCAGACTTTGAACTATTGTTTCACACTCAAATAAGAGTAAATCAAATTTTCCATGACTCAAAATCTTAATCAGATTAAGAACTCTCCAAACATAATTGGCCAAGGCAACTAATACACGGTCCAATCAAACAGCTTAATGTTATAAACTCAGTTTATTTATACTACACATTTTAAAAAAGGCAAATGCTAAAGGTACTTTTTGTCAAAAAAAATATCATAAATATATCTTTTCCTATTTTTTTATGCATTTTTAACATAATTTTAAAAAAAATTCTTTTTTAATTCTTTAACCTATGCGCTATGACCACTACTAAAAAAGAGACGCTTAAAAAAAACTGTGACCAGTAAATAGGTAAACGCTCATATCAATCATAAAAAAATTGATGAAGGATTAATATGTTACTTTTAATAATTTTAAAATTGCTTAAACATTAATTATTCAATCAATGTCTCAATACACATTAGATTAAATTGATGTTCTTTTAAAATATAACTTAATGCCTAAGTATTTTAAGAAATCCAACTTAATCCTTACTGTCATGTTATAAAACTGAATTAAAAATTGAAAAAGTGAAACATATAAAGTATAATTTTTTAATCATAAATTATACCTTTTTTAGATCTTATATATCGGTTACAAGAAATAATATTCTTTGAGTTGAAAATAATATCACAAAACTTGCTTTTTTAAGTGGAGTGTTTTTTTTAGAATCTTACTTAAAGAAAAATAGACATATAGAAACTAAACTATCATCTTATTAATTTATAAATTATAATTTAATTAATTATATTTATAATTAAAAGTAAGTAAATCAAATAACATTTTAATCCTAAGATAAATCTAGCTCTTTTAAAATTTGCAAGTGGATAAACTGATAAAATAAGATATATTTACAATTATTTTATAAAGTATAATCGAATTAATTATATTTATAATTAAAAGTAAGTAATTTAAATAACATTTTAATTCTAAGATAAATTCAGTTCCTTTAAAATTTGAAAGTAGGTAAATTGATAAAGTAAGATATATTCACAATTAATTTAACGTTAATTAAGTTTTTAGGATATGCATTTAACTCAGCTGTATTTATTTAAAATTTTAATCTTGAAACTATATCTTAAACTAAAATAACCTTATACCAATTGACATACGTGTTCAGTGATAAAATATTCTAATAAAAATCAATTGATGCAATCTTATTTTCTTCCTTTATATATTTACTCATTAAAAAAACAAATTACTAGTAAAACATAATTAATTTATTGCTGAATTGATTTTCAAATGTCTACTCAAAATATAACACAAATATTAAATAATAAAAAATAAAAAATTCCTTTTAGATAACTTTTTTCTTTTCTTGAAAAAAATAATATCATGTATTTGATTTTATATATTTTTTTAGAGTTAAGATTTATTGACACCAAGTATTAAATTTAAACAATTACATCATTTAATAACTTGTCATAAAATATGAAATTGATAAATTTAATCATTGAATTAAAGATTCTTATCAAATAAATTAATTTTACAAAATTTAATATAAAAATAAAATTAATAAATACTTCATCACATTATATTATTTTTATATTATAATAATTTTAAAATATAAGTAAATATTAAATTTAAATAATATAGTTATAAATATTCAAATGATATAAAATTTAATATATAAGATATAAAAATAACATAAAATTATTTAATAGTTAAATTGATTAATTTTATATTTTATAAAAATTTATTAAGAAGTGCAAATATTTAAGTTTCTTCCTTAGTTTTGCTGAGTCTTAATTCTTTTCTTTTTATATTACATAAGTATTATATTTATAATTTATTTTCTACTTTTCTCTGTTTTTTTTTAAAATTATTCTCAAGAATATCAGAATAATTTTTTTAAAATAATTCTAATTTTTATAATTTTTATTATATTTTAAAAATATTTTTATTTTTTAATATCTCTTATGATATTTATATTTTTGTTGTCAGGTATTTCATAATTCAAATCATTTTCATTTCCGTATGACCAAAAGCTCGTGGAAAGAAGAATGAAAGCTATCTTCGAAAGGATGAAACAGTTCCATATTGACTCCTTAGCAACGAAGTAGTCAAAGAATGAATGAACAGACGAATATTGGCTCTTCACCCCAGTCTCACTTTCGATAGTGACAGACCTCTGGTTCAAATCCGCGTCCCATGCGCAATAATTTGATAAAATAAAAGGTTTTTTTTTTTTTTTTTCTATTCAACGAGGCTAAAAAGTCAACAAACACAAAAACAAACTACAACAATCTAGGAGTTCAAACCTTAAAGAATCTAAATTTAGAAAAAGTAAAAGAGGAGGAGAATTTTTAACAAAATAGGAAATATCTTAAGGAGAATTTAGATTAAGTTTGGCCAAAATATAAGCACATTTATTCCTTTCTCTAAGAATGTGCTTGAACCTAACAAAAGGGATATTTCTTAAAATACTTCTAATAGCATCAATCAGATAGAATAATAAATGATTACCACTTTAAATACTTAACAAAAGGTTAAAAGCTTCTTTGGAGTCAGTTTCTATCTAGATAACAAAAATATTATTATGAACAACTAACTGAAGACAAAAAAAATATGCTCCAAAACTCAGTATCTAAAGGAGAGCATAATGCAATGTCCCTATAAAATTAAGCTATAACATGGCCTTGACAGTTTTTGATTAAACTACCACAGCTAATACTTCCATGAACCTGAGAGACAACTCCATCTATGTTAAGCTTCATGTGGTTCAGAGGGGGAGGATACAATCTCTGAAGACTTTGAATTTCCAGAGTATTCTGTTCTATAATAGAATTGGTCCTGAAATAATAATTTAAATAATCAACTTCATAGCAAATTTTATGATATAAGGAAATAGGAGATATAGATGAAAACTGAAAAATGACATTATTTCTCTCCTTCCAAATTAGCCAAATAGCCTGTCCCAACAACGAAAGCTACTAAACTTAGATTTAGATAAATTTGTAAGTAACTATTTAGATAGACCAAGACTAAAAAAGAAGGCCCAATTTTCAGGTAAAATAAGATATTCTCAGATTTCTTTAGCAAACCAACAATATTTAAGTATGTGAATAATATTTTCAGTGGCTTTATTGCACCTAGAACAAAGAGGTGAACTAGCTATGCCTCTTTTACATCTTTCTTCATCTGTTAAAAGCCTACCATGAGCTACCTTCCATAAAAATAGAGTAACTCTAGGAGGTTCATCCCACTTCCAGACTGCTTTAAAAATATTCTTGCTAGGATCATGTCGTTGATCATTAGTATTAAACAAGTTATAAGCAGTTTTAATTGAAAATAATCCATTACTTGAAAGATTTCAGAAAACAAGGTCTTTCCTTTTGCTCATATCAGGCGGTTGGACTTGAGCAATAGAGTCACATATGGAAATAGGGAGAATTTGTTTGATCCTAGCCCAGTTCCAGTTTCCTTGGTTGGTGAAATAATTCACAGGCATATCTAATTCTTCTTCTGGAATGGGGCTCAAAACATACTGAGCCAAATTTTGGACATAGGGAATCTAATTATCCCTCCAGAATTTAGTTGTTCAACCATATCCAATGATTCAACCCAACTCCTAAGAAAAAGAATCCCAGACAGAACACATACTCTTTCAAAGATAGAAGGTTCTTATGTTATTTCCTAGGCTAGGGTTCTTACCAAGTGTAAAATTTATACTTATGATATATGACTTGAGCCATAGCTTATTAGGATATTTAATCGTTCTCCAAAATAATTTCATCATATATGTCTTATTAAGCAAGGAGAGATCCCTAAAACCTAGGCCTCCATTATTCTTATGTTTACAAATTTTATCCCAACTGATTAGGTGACATTTTCTTTTGCCTAAAGAACCTTAAATGAATTTTTTACATATATTGTTTATTTTTTTACAAACAAAACTAGGGATGACCATAGATTGCATAATATAAGCAGGAATAGACAAGAGGCATGACTAGGCCAGTATGACCTTTCCAGCTAAGGAAAGGGTATTCATCTTCCAAAGGGCAAGTTTTTGCGAATTTTATCAATAATGGGAGCAAAATCTTTTCTGCCAAGAGTTTGGTTTCTAACGGGGATGCTTAAGTAAGTTTCAAACTCATTAGACCTTTTAATTCCTAAATTATTACTAAAATCCTGAGTCCCAAATTGGTGGATGGTGCATCATACATCTTTTTAATGGTATGCGTTATATGGTGAGTACCTTTTTACGACAGATACCAACACAATAACATAACACAATTATGATAACATTCACATCAAATAGAGTTTTGTGTCATATTTTGTAAATAACTTAACAAGTGGATCCATCCCATTATAAACCTGAAAGTAGTCTCAATGGTGCCTGGGTCTATGACTACCGCCCACAAAAACCTATAATAATAGTGAATCCCTCTCTTGTACCCTATTTTTTTATGATAATTTAAAACTTTTATCACCAAGAAATCCAATTTTCTCAGATAAAAGAACATATTGAGTAATTATTATTGAAGTAATATTTTTATTTAGGAACTAATAATTAGTCAAGTCCTCTACTTTTCTGCTCTACATTAAACTTTAATTCATATATGTGAGTTTTGAGCTTTAAAGGGAATTTTTATCCTAATTCAATTAGTTGTATCCCTTTCTTTATTATTTTATGTGATTATCTTCTTAGGATTTGTACTCTAGAACTTAACTTGTAACTGACTTGAGACTACTCTTTTTAATTACATGTTTTAATTTGACTGAGACAAATTAGGATTATTTATTTTCTTGGCCTTTAGTGTGTTTAAGATAAAGATACAATTAGCTGTCCACTTTGAATTTTATTGATTTTTCTTAGTCCCTTACATTGAATTTATAAAATATTTTTGATAACCTTGAGTTTATCAACGAAACAATAGAGTTGTTGAGTGAATCCCTTGCTTGTACCCTTGTTTTCATGATAATTTGAAACTTTTATCACCAAGGAATCTAATTTTTTCAAATAAAAGAACATGTTGAGTGATTATTATTGAAGTGATATTTTTATTTGGAAACTAATAACCAATCAAGTCCTTTACTTTTTTGCTCTATATTAAACTTTAACCCACATATGTGAGTTTCGAGCTTTAAAGAGAATTTTTATCCTAGTTCAATTAATTGTATTCCTTTCCTCATTGTTTTGTGTTATTTTCTTTTTAAGATTTGTGCTTTAGAACTTGACTTGTAATCGACTTAAAACTACTCTTTTTAATTGCATGTTTTAATATGACAGAGACAAATTAGGATTATTTGTTTTCTTAGCATTTGGCATGTTTGAGATAAAGATACAACTAGCTACACACTTTGAGTTTTATTGATTTTTCTTGGTCCCTTGCATTGAATTTATAAAATATTTTTTATAACCTTGAGTTTATCATCACCAAGGAATTCAATTTTCTTAGATAAAAGAACATGTTGAGTGATTATTATTGAAGCAATATTTTTATTTGAATTAGTCAAGTTCTCCACTTTTCTGCTCTACATTAAACTTTAACCTACATATGTGAGTTTTAAGCTTTAAAGGGAATTTTTATCCTAATTCAATTAATTGTATCACTTTTCTCATTATTTTTATGTGATTATCTCCTTAGAATTTGTGCTCTAGAACTTGACTTGTAATCGCTTAGATAAAAGAACATGTTGAGTGATTATTATTGAAGTAATATTTTTTTTTGAATTAGTTAAGTTCTTCACTTTTCTGCTCTACATTAAACTTTAACCTACATATGTGAGTTTCAAGCTTTAAAGAGAATTTTTATCCTAATTCAATTAATTGTATCATTTTTCTCATTATTTTTATGTGATTATCTCCTTAGAATTTGTGCTCTAGAACTTGACTTGTAATCGACTTGAAACTAGTCTTTTTAATTGCATGTTTTAATATGATCGAGACATATTAGGATTATTTGTTTTCTTGGCCTTTAGCATGTTTGAGATAAAGATACAACTAACTACCCACTTTGAGCTTTATTGATTTTCCTTGGTCCCTTGCATTGAATTTATAAAATATTTTTGATAACCTTGAGTTTATCAACGAAACAATTGGGTTGTTGAATTATTTGTTAAAATCTCCTCTACGTCTCTTATGTGCAAAAAGAAAGAAAATATGTTCAAATAGAAATGAGAATGAAAAATAACCAAACAAGAAAAAAAAAAGGATTACCGATGAATGATAAAAAGGAAAAGTAAAGAAATTGAATGTATAAAAAATATAAAAATTGCTTAAAGAGCTTCATTTATAAATTTAGTGAGTGTTTGTAATTGTTATGATTAATTAATCCTTTGTGTACATTTCCTTTCATTTATCTCACCTTAATTGTTAAATCCTTTTGGTCATTACAATCTCAAAAGGATCTCATAATTTTTCTGTGCATTCAATTTAATTAGTGAAGAGTCAATTTATGATCAAACTTATAGTAATATACTTTTCTTTAAAGGAATTGCGTGATGTCTTCTTTTGTCCAAGACACTTAAAGAGAAAAAAAAGTTGAGCATCTTAGTTTAATATTTGAGAAAAAAGTTAAAGAATATAATATTCTAATTTCAAAACTGTTTTAAAACTAGATCTTACAGGAAGATAAGTTTGTAAATTATGAAGTACACTAAATAAGAGCTCATGGGCGTTCAGCCTGTAGATATGAATCAAGCAAAACAAGTACTTCATGGGGAATGAGTTACCTCATCTTTTAATTAAATTATTTAATAGACTAATATTTATAATAATATTGTCAAATTTTTATTTTCAATTGCTTCAAATAAATTCTAAGAAATTAAGTTAATAAAATTATTAAACTAAATAGGAAGATAATTTTATTGTGCAGAGAAGAAAGCTTTACATGAAAGGATATTAGTGTTTAAATTTTAGATATAAATATTTACAATATATAAGATCAAAAGCTTTACATAAAATATATTAATATATAACTTAGAAAAATCTAAGCGTTACGACAAAAAAATCTAAATCACGTTAATAATCATTAGATATCAACATTTCACAGTTATTTTAGCATTTTTTAATAATTTTAATTATACTTTATAATTATTTTTCATGGTTAAATACTTTCATCTCAAAAAATAAAAAGTTTATAAAGCATTACATTGGCATCTAAATAAAATGTAATTACAATATAGTGATAGCGTAAATGTTTTTTCATACCGGGATTTAATAATGAATTATCATATTATTGTAAATAATTATTTTTTATAATCTATCTGTCGTATATTTTAATAAGTAAACAATATAATTTTTTTTATAGTGACAGTACATTAAAATTAAACTCATTTAAATATAAATATAAAAAGTTTCATTACAAATATATATATATATATATATAAATTGTATGTATACCTATGTTATTAACTAATGTTTATATCTTTAAATTATACATAATATAAATCCAGGAAGTATTGTCATCATGTGAAGAATGAGAATTCAACAAAAGAAATATGTTAATATTATTAAAAAGAAAAATAAATACTTACATCAAACAAAAGATAAAAAATTTATATCATGTGAAGAATATTAATATTTAAATTACAACAACAAATACATACATACAGTTTATAATTAAGTGTGTAAAGATTTATTAAAATTAAATTTTAGGTGATGAACTGAGTTTTTTATTTTATTTTTAGTTTTACTTTTTAATTTCAAAATGTATTTTATGTTGTATTTAAATGAACACATTTTTATTTCATTTCATCTTTTTATTTACCAATATGTTTATTTGAATTAACATAATTATTGGCGTAAATGTAAATTTAAATTTAGCATCAAATTACAATGTGCAAAAAGTTTTCAACTATACTTTTATTATGTTTCTTAATTAATTCAGTTAGTTATTTAACTAATTTTTTAAGATGAGCTTTAATGAAAATGACATCATATATATAATTTAGTAAAAATATTTTTAAGAATAGAAAAAGGTACATTAATTAATAACAAAGTTATTATTTCAAAACGTATTTTCTGTTTTTTTTAGCGTCAACCAAAACATATTTTCTATTATATTTAAATGAACAAATTTTTATTTCATTTCATCTTTAATGTATCAATATGTTTATTTTAATTAACATAATTATTGACGTAAATATGAATTCAAATTTTACATCAAAATATCATGTGCACAAAGCCTTCAACCATACTTTTACGATGTTTACTAATTAATTCAGTTAGTTATTTAACTCATTTTTTAAAAGCTGAGCTTTAATGTAAATGACATTATACATATAATTTAATAAAAATATTTTAAGAATAGAAAAAACATTCATTAATTAATAACCAAAGGTATTATTTCAATCAACTTGTCAAATTTTTTATTTGATAAAATTACAAAAATTAAAAAATATATACCGTCTATGCTGTTTTATGTAAGAGTAACCTACAATTTCTCTTTTATTTTATTGTTATTTGATTTTATTTTTAAGAACTACTTTCAAGTTGATATTTAGTTTAATATTAATATACGTCATCAAATTTGAAATATCATTGTATCAAATTTTTTATTTGATAAAATTACAAAAATTTAAAAAATATACAGTTTATGCTGTTTTATGTAAGAGTAACCTACGAATTTTTTTATTTTATTGTTATGATTTTATTTTTAAGAACTAATTTCAAATTTACATTTAATTTAATATTAATATACGTCATCAAATCTGAAATATGATTGTTTTGTAAATTTGATTTATATTTTTTACAACTGACATAACAACTTTTTGAATCCGAATATAAAATTTACAGTGTAAGGTGACAGATTTTATATTTTCTGTTTCTACACGAAGCTTCTACGAAACCTGCATTGTGTTGTTTGAAAAAACAGAAATTCTCTCATTCTCGTTCATTTATCGATCTCATTCTCATTTCGATCGCATCAACCCTTCTGAAACCAAACACTGTTTTTTCTCTTCACTCAGCCATGTCAATGAGGAAAGGAAAAGCCATAGGCATAGACTTGGGAACATCCTACAGCTGCGTGGCAGTGTGGCAAAACAACAAAGTTGAAGTCATTCCAAACGAGCAAGGCAACCGCACCACCCCTTCTTGTGTTGCCTTCACCCAAACCCAAAGGTTGTGGGGTGATGCTGCCATGAACCACCGAACCAAGAATCCACACAACACCGTTTTCGACGCCAAACGTTTGATCGGTCGTAGATTCTCCGACAAATCCGTTCAACAAGACATGAAGCTTTGGCCTTTTAAGGTTGTCTCTGCAAGCCGAGACAAGCCCATGATTGCGGTTACTTACAAAGGCGAAGAGAAACGTTTTGCACCCGAAGAGATATCTTCCATGGTGTTGCTTAAAATGAAAGAGATCGCTGAAGCGTATTTGGGTCACTCAGTGAGGGATGCTGTTATCACTGTCCCTGCTTATTTCAACAACTCACAGAAGCAAGCCACTAAGAATGCAGGGAAAATTGTTTGTTTAAACGTTCTGAGGATGATCAACGAGCCAACTGCAGCTGCTATTGCTTACGGGTTGGGCAAGAAGGGGTTGAGAGAGGGTGAAAAAAATGTGCTTGTGTTTGATCTTGGTGGTGGCACTTTTGATGTTTCGTTAGTGATGATTGATGAAGGAAAGTTTAACGTTAAGGCCACGGTGGGAGATGCCCATTTGGGTGGTGTAGATTTCGATAACAGATTGGTGAACCATTTGGTGGGTGTGTTTAAAGAGAAGCACAAGAAGGACATGAGTGAGAATGCCAAAGCTCTTGAGAAATTAAGGTCAGCGTGTGAGAGAGCTAAGAGGATCCTCACTTGGAGTTCAGAAACTAGTATTGAGCTTGACTCTTTATATGAAGGAGTTGATCTGTATGCCACTCTTACTAGAGAAAAATTCGAAGAATTGAACGAGGACTTGTTCATCAAATGCATGCAGATTGTGGAGAAGTGTCTTGTTGACGCAAAGGTTGACAAAACCCAAGTCCATGAGATCGTTCTTGTTGGTGGGTCTAGTAGAATTCCCAAGGTACAACAGCTTTTGAAGGACAAGTTCAGTGTGAGTGGGAGAGTGAAAGAGCTCTGCAACAGCATAAACCCTGATGAATCTGTTGCATATGGTGCTGCAGTTCAAGCAGCAATCTTGAATGGTGAGGGAGACAAGAAAATACAGGAGTTGTTGTTGCTTGATGTGATGCCATTTAGTCTTGAGGTTGACACTGGGGGTGGTGTGATGTCAGTGCTGATTCCTAAGAACACCGTGATCCCAGTCAAGAAGGAGAGGGTTTTCTCCACCTCCTCTGATAATCAAAAATGCATTTTGGTCAAAGTGTTGGAGTGAGAACGAACTAAGACCGAGAGTAACTCTTTTTTTGGCCAGTTTATGCTCTCTGGGTTCCATCCTTCACCAAAGAGAATTCCACAAATCAGTGTTAGCTTTGATATAGACGTGGATGGTATTTTGAATGTGACAGCTGAAGAAAAAATCAAAGGGTCTACGAAGCAGATCACAGTGTACAGCAAGGGAAGGTTGAACCCAACAGAAATGAAAAGAATGGTGAGTGATTCAAAGAAGTACAGGGCAGAAGATGTAGGAAACCTTAAGGAGAAGATTACAACTAACAAGAAGGTGAAGGCAAAGAACAGCCTTGAGAATTTCGCTAATGAGATGCGGAAGAGAGCAAAGAGAATGCAGGAGGGAGTGGAAGAAACCATGAAGTGGATAGATAGTAACCAATTAACTCTAAGAGAGGAGTTTGAATGCAAGAAGAAAGAGTTGAGAAAGAATTTGCGTGATGATCCCAACTCTAATATGTCAGATTCTGAGGTTAAGGTTCCTATATGGTGTACATGGAGATTTCCACCTAATGGTTGGGTTTGTCTCAACACTGACGGATCAGTCTTTAATAACCTCAGAACTGGTTGTAAAGGAGGTGCTTGTGGTGGTCTTGTTCGAGATTCCTCGGGATGTTTTTTAGGTGGTTTTTCGGTTAATTTGGGTCACATGTCAGTTATTTTAGCAGAGTTGTGGGGTATTGTGCATGGCCTTAAGTTGGCATGGGATCTTGGTTATAGGAAGGTGAAGGCGGATATTGATTGTCTGGATGCTCTTCGGCTAGTTAGGAATTGCAGAGCGAATAATGATCCAACTTTTGCATTAGTTTTTGAAATCAACGAGCTTGTTCGCAGAGATTGGTTGGTGGAGTTTTCTCACGTGTACAGAGAATCTAATCGTGCGGCTGATCAGCTGGCTCACTTGGGACACACACTCTTTGGAACTGGGTGTCAAACGCTTCTCTCAGCCACCTTCTACTCTTTTTAAGATTCTTCATGATGACTTGAACGGTCTTCCTTTGCGACGTGGCGTTACCTAGTTCACTTTTTCATACATAAAATGTAAAAATAATTGAGAAATATACATAAACTAATTTTAACAATATATGTTTATTAAAATATGTGTTCTTTATGTAAAAAAATATGAGAACTAATTTTCTAATCATAAAATAAGCATGTCCTTGTAATGATTTATGGATTAATCAATTGTGTCAGATAGATTAAGTGGATTTAATTTCTTAGTTAAGGCATCAGTGTTTTCCAATCTAATGATTTAAAATTTTTAAACTATGATATAGATTTACTAATATAGCAGAAACAATTTCTCAGAAATTATGATATTTCAAAAAAATTAAATAATAAAATTCAAAATAGATAAATAGATGATGTCAAGTCACTATTAAAACAATTAAACTTTTTTAAAAATTTTGTAATATAAAGCCAAATCTAGGTAGATTCACGGAGATACATTCTTAATAAAATTTAATTTTAATTTTTCTTTTAAAAATTACAAATAAGATTTTAAGAGTTTTAAAAATTACAAATTAATCAAATTAAATTATGGACATAATTAAAGTGAGTAAAAATAAACTAAGAAAAAACATTTCACATAATACTAATTATGTGTAATTCCGGCTATTACTGTATCTAGAAATTTAAATCAGCGTTTGAACAATTACTCAATTCAACTATTAATTCAATCGAATATCCTAATTGAATAGAGTTACGAATTAAATCAAATAATTATTTAACTTAATCCGTATTAATTATCAAATTAGAGCATCGATCAAGTCCTAATTTGAATTCTAACAATAGAAAAATCAATTATGATCGCAATACATAATTCTTAGATTAGAGAGAGAAAAGAATAAACTCAAAGCAATTTAGCTTAGAACTTAAGTCAGAATTACGACATTTGAATTCTGCAGATTGAACGAGAGGTTTAGCCTTCTATTGAAATACTTAACCCACACAAGAATGGAAAAAGACTTGAGAAAAAGTAAAAAAACAAATATTCTTATTTCGGCTAAGTTTCAAAATCTCAAAGTATCTTATCACATCATACCCTAGTTCAGAACCTTATTAGTCTATTTATAGATTCTAATTAGGGTAAATTAATTGGCCAAAATTTAGGCCTCAATAATATCTAAAAGTACAAATACAATTATTAAATAACAAGAATTCAAATGCAATCCCGTAAAAATATTCAGCAAATCTGCTTCAATTTCAAACAATCATAAAAAATAAAAAATAACTCCAAATCCAACGATCCATATATACATTTTGAAGTCTTGGATATATATAATCCAATGCAACTGGAATAAGCCAAAAAAGATATTTGTAGAAAAAGTTATGGCCAAAATAGTAGTCAAAGGTCAGAATAACAAAAAATACGAAAATAAAGCATTTATTTGTAATAGACCCAATTTAATCAAATAAGTAGAAAATTGTAAAAACTATAAAAATAAAACATATAAAAAATGTTTATTAATCAAAATAAAACTATAAATATAAACATAAAATATGTTATATCAAATTTTCTCAGATTTAAGACTTTGCTCTCCAGAACAAATCACAAAATCAAACCACAGGGAACCTAAAATAAATTAAGGTATCCACAATTTCTATCAAGTTCAAATATCATGGCTAAAATGAAAATCAATCCTCTCACTCCAAATTTTACAAATGAACTCATCAAACCAAGTGAATGAACCATAAAAGATAGAATTCTCACATGACATACTCTCAATCACTCAAGTGTATAAGGTAAAGTGTATAACTCAAAATACACAACATAAAGCATGATTAACCATAAGCTTGTCCATTGCTTACCTCTCCACTATAATTCACACATACACACAAAAATCAAAAGAACTTTGCTAGGTTATAAAGGGACATAATGAAGGTGGATAAATTACAAAGGTAATCAAGCTAAAGTAAAAAAGAATATCAAAATAATGGAGAATGAATTCAAAGAAAGTAAGCATGAAAGTAAATCTTCAAAATAAAAATATAATGTAATACAATATAAAAACAATCTTCTTTTACTTTTGCTAGCCATAAAAAATGCTCATTTTCCTTTTTATTACTTACTTTTTATTTTTTCTTTTTCTTTATTTCTCTTTTTTTTTAAGAGCTAATTTTTTCTTTTCTCTTGCATTTTCTTAAGGTTATCTCCCTCACACTTATTTTTATGATCATTTCTAAAACAATTCCAAAGTTCTTATATCCCTTAAGGTTCGATTATTTTATTGTTTTACACCTTTGGCTTGAAATGAGCTAAGATCACAATAAATAGGGCAATTAGGCTTAAGGGGGCTTAAAACAATGGAAATAATGCAAAGTTAACTTTTTGATTAGTAGTTTGCAAGAAAAAAAAAATGTATGTATCATGTTAATGCAAGCATATGGAAATATAGTCTAAAAAAGGATCAAGGCAATTTCTAGTGTCATACAACCATAAGTGCAATCACACAATGAAAAAAGTAAAATGACATGATATTGTCATTTATATAGGTCAAACCCTCACAAGGTATATATTCTATGACAAATAATCTAACACACAAAATATCAAAGTCCACTTATTAAATCGAAGAATGATTTAATCAATTTGTCAAAGTCACGAAATAATCACTTAAATAGATTATGTACACACAAAAAAACATAATACTCCTTTACTTGAAATTAATATTGTCCTTAATGAAAAACATAATAATCATAAGGACAATTCAAACAATCCAATAAGTGAGAGAAAGGTAAGAAAACTCCTTATAAATCAAGGTAAGTGGCCAATTCAAAAGTAATCTCCTCTTGTTCATGTTCCTCCATGTCCTCATGAAAAACCTAGAACTGATGCCCATTAACCTTGAATCTACTTTGCGATTCCATATCCATATCCTGAAGTTCAACAACATAAGAAAAAACATTAATAACAAGAAATAGACCATCCCACTTATATCTCAATTTACCGGTATCAACTTAAATTTAGAATTATATAAAAGAATTTTGTTACTAATGTGAAATTTTTTATGCCTTATTAACTTATCATGAAAAATCTTAGTATGCTCTTTGTAGATGTTGGAATTCTCATATACTTCTCTACGAATCTCCTCCAACTCTTGTAATTAAAGCTTTTTATATTTTTTAAAAATTAAAAATTAAAATAGAAAGAAATACTCCTTAAATAACTCGTTATAATCCCATAAAATATGTGAAACTTTTTGTTTTTCTTTCTTTGTTATATGTTTTTTTTTTTATTTCTTTGTCATATTTTTTATTCCTTCATTTTAGATTTATTTTTGTTGCTGCTCCACTTAATTTGGGACCACTTTTAGTTACAAGCAATTACAATTTCTGTAAATTTCAAATTTGTATAATTGGCTTACAGTTTAGCATATTTCAATTGTAGTATCTTATATTAGTATGATAGTTTAATAAGAAAAGTAAGTTAATTTAATTCACCAACAATAAAATATAAACAAAACAAGAATTGAAAATTAATTTTTTAAATTATAAAAGTTCGTAGCATAAACAGTTCACAATAATTATATAATATACTTTTAATTTTTTATTTACAATTAAATTAAATTTACTATAAACATATTAATATTTTAAAAAATGAAAATAAAAAGAAGCTTTGATTTTGTTATTATTAAAATTTAAACAGCTATGGTCTCTTTGTAGTAAAAAACTATAGATGATAATATATGTTTTATTTAATTAAAAAAATAATTAGCTTTAAAAATTTAAAAAAAAATCTCACTTTTTTTAAAATTTAATTTTCCTTTTTTTTTTTCACATATTTCTTGCCTCTGAACGAAAGAGGTGATTAACCTAACTTCTGGTTTTTATTTTATTTTATTTCCTTTTTCTGGAGATAAAAGAAGTGAAGTGGAGCATCGAGTAAACAATCGTTCTCGTTCCTTGGTTCGTGGGGTTCAACTTCAGCTTCAGCTTCAACTTCAACTTCAAATTCTTACTGAAACCAAATCAAAATCAAATTCAAATCGTTAACAAAATCTGAATTTAGATTTGAGATGGAAAGGCTTCAGCGAATGTTCGCAGGTGCAGGTGGAGCACTAGGGCATCCACCCCCAGATTCTCCAACTCTTGATTCCTCCGAGCAAGTCTACATCTCTTCCCTCGCTCTTCTTAAGATGCTTAAGCACGGTAAAGTTATAAAGTTCCCATTTTTAGCACAATCAAATCATGAGTACTCAATTTCATATTAGGGTTTTCTTTAATTCGTGTTTTTTTCTTCATAACAGGAAGGGCTGGGGTACCCATGGAGGTGATGGGTCTGATGTTGGGGGAATTCGTGGATGAGTACACCGTTCGTGTCGTTGATGTCTTTGCAATGCCACAGAGTGGCACTGGTGTTAGTGTTGAAGCAGTAGATCATGTTTTTCAGACTAATATGCTTGATATGCTCAAACAGACTGGAAGGTATTTTATTTTATTTTTAAATTTTTGTGTTTTCTTTTATTCGTGAAACTATTGATGTTTGTTACTTGTATTACAGGCCAGAGATGGTTGTTGGCTGGTACCATTCACATCCTGGATTTGGCTGTTGGCTGTCTGGTGTTGACATCAATACACAGCAGGTTCAACTTCATTTGTTTTTTAAATGTTATTTGTTTTCAAAGTATTTGCGTGGTTGATGATGTTCGTTAGTATTGATTTTAATGGTTTTTCTTATTTTTAACACCTTGGATTAGAATTGGATTCTTTACTTTCAGTGACAGGTTTAAATGGATCTCTTGTTGTGAATGGATTTTGCACCGTTTATGTTTTCCCTTCTAGTTTCCTAACCTTTTTGTAGAACATTTCTTTCTTAATTTAATTATTCGTTCACTCCTTCTTTTGGGAGAGTCGTATGGAAAAGGCTGTGGATCTCTGACTGAATTTAAAAGAAAAGATAACAATACAACATCCAACTTAAAATTCTAACCGTCAGAATATAATGTCTGATATTAACTAGTTATTGAATATTGATCTTATTGAAATTGCTAATTTGAGTTTGATGGTTGGTGGTTTGTGGTACTGCAGAACAGAGGAGAGAATAGAATATTTTGATATATTATTAACACTGAATGTTACAAATATAAATAGATAGAGGGATCGAAGTTAAAAAGGAAAGGTTTTAGCAAATCTGAGAGATACAGCAAATCTGATAGATACAATCCTAATTTCATAAAATACAAAATATACAGCTGTAATATAGATATTATGATTACAATTACTCCTTAATCTCCACACTCCCCTTTAAGTTGGTGCATATATAGATCATGTGCATCCAGCTTGCTACATATTTAGCCTGTCCTTTCTCTTTGAAGTGCCTTTGTGGGGATGTCTACTAGCTAATCATTAGAACCCACAAAGGATGTAGTTATTTCTTCAGATATAATCTTCTCCTGGATGAAATGACAGTCAATTTCAATATGCTTAGTATGCTCATAGAAACCCAGATTAGAAGCAATGTACAAGGCTGCTTGATTGTCACAAACATGACTCAGAGCCAACTTTACAAAACTGGAATTTTTGGAAATGTTTCAGCCATATGAGCTCACATGTGGTGAGAACTGTAACTCGATACTCTGCCTAGACCTGGAAACCACATTCTGTTTTTTACTTCTCCATGAAATCAAATTACCTCCAATAAGAACAAAATACCCTGAATTAAATTGTTTATCAATTGGGAAATCTGCATCTGTTCTGTATATGCAACAGTATCAAAATGACCTCTATTTGTATAAACTAAGCCTCTTCCAAGGAATCCTTTAATATATCTCAAAATTCTAACTAAAACGTCCCATTGACTATCGGGAAACCATACAGCAAATGAAATATCTGGTCTTGTCATTATCAAGTAGTTCAACCTCCCAACTAACCTGCAATATCTTCTAGAGTATGGAAAGGCTTCCCAGGGTTGGTAGAAGTGTCAAATGGCTTACAGTCCAGCATTTCAGGTTCTTCAAGGATATTCAAAACAAGTTCACTTTGGGATACAACTCCTCTTTCCTTGATTGAGCTACTTCAATCCCAAGAAAATATTACAGCTGCCTGAGGTCTTGGGTTTGAAAATGGTGGACTATATGTTGTTTAAGTCCTTCAAAAACTTGAGGAGGAACATGAATCAACATGTCATTTGGAAAAAGTAAGGAATGAGGCACGTTATTGTTGATGGCAGAGGACAACATTCAATTTATCAAACAACCTGCAGTAAGAACATCACTCCAAAATTTTAAAGGAGCATTAACATTTATGATCAGACGAGAGCAGTTTCAATGATATGGTAGTGTTTATGTTTGGCAATACCATTCAGCTGAGGGGTGTGAAGACAATAAGACTGGTAAATCATCCCATTATTTGCTGTAAAAGAATTAAAAGGAGCTAAAAAATATTCCTTTGTTTTATCACTGTTTGAAATATGAATTGAAAAACCAAATTGACTTTGAATTTCCTTGACGATGAAATTAACAAAATACCTATACCCTAAAACATATGCGATCGTGACTCACTCTAATGAGTGTAAATGAGACAAATACGGAACCCTTTTTTTTTAAAAAAAAAAATTCTTGAGGCATGGTTTCCTAACCAACAATAGAGAAGACTTGAAGATTCAATAACACTGCAGACAACAGAAGTTGAGAATGGCAGGCAGTAATTGTTCCTGTGACTCATCCTGTATCAACATTTGCCCTGTACTTCGGTCCTATATAATCAAGGAATCAGAATTGAAGGTTGTAGAAAAATTAACAGTATGAGTGAGACAATTAACAGAGGTCAAATTAAAAGGACAATCAGAATCAAAGAGAACAAAATCAGGTGATAAAGATGGAAGAAGTGTGGCTTGACCAATCCAGGCTTTGGATTTTGAGCCATCTACAGGAGTAATGTGATGAGGAGTTTGAGGCTGGGACAATTTTCAGAAAACAAGGGGATTACCAGCTACATGATTGGAAGCACTGGAGTCCAAAATTCAAGGCCAGCAGACAATTATTGAGAAATACAGATTGGTGAATTACTAGTATGTGCCTTAGTAGTTGAGGGTGAGGCTTCAGATGTCTTGAACTGCTAGAATTCTTTATACTAGTCATTGGATAACAAATTATGATTAGTGCTCCTCAACTCATTGTTTTCCATAATTGAAGGATTTTGTCACATTAACTTATTTATCTAGAAATCCAATAAGAGACTAACATTTGTCCTGACCGTGACCAAAACGTTTGCAGTAGGTGCATTGAGGATTTCAGCAAATCTGAGAAATACAGCATGTCTGATAGATACAACATACAATGCTAATTTCCTAAAATACAAAATATACAGCCGTAATATAGATATTATGATCACAATTTATCCTTAATCTCAACAGTGATCAATAAAGCTGATGCCTATTCTGCATGCTTAGCATCCAACGTATTCCCTGTCCTAGCTTAGTAGAAAGAATAGACATAAAACTAGTTGTATAATTTGAGGACTAAATCACAAACTCAGTTTGACATGGACTAAATTGTCATCTAGATATATGTTCAGTGTTGATATTGCCATTTTAGTTGTTTGTTCTTAAAAAGAAATGTGAGGTTCATTTAATAATAATAATAATAAGAGGATATTTCTGAATCTTGTGTGTCATATGATCACGAGTTCTATTTATAATTACATAGTGAAGTACAACAGAATCAATCATAATTGCAAAAGAATCAATTAAATCCCAAATTTACAGTTGCATATCTAATCATATCCCTGATTGTTATCCAACAATAATAATCCTATATTTGTTTATGATGTTCCATGAAAATCAATATTTGTGAGTATAATATGGAAGCTTGCTCCGATTCCCTGAATAGGGAACTCTTCATTTTAATACAACAACTTTCTATGTTATCAGAAGGAGCAAAACAATAACAGTGTCAAGAAATGCACTACCAAGTGCCAAGTATTGCCTATTTCATAAACTTAAATTGAAATTTTATGTAATCAAAAGTTTCCAGCCTGGCCTAGGCATTAGAATTCAATTCATTATTGGCATTAACTATTATTTTGTTCTTATTAGTATATGCTGCTGATTTTGTATGAGTAACTTGCTCTTGTATATTATGTCATGCAGAGCTTTGAGGCTTTGAATCAACGTGCAGTGGCTGTGGTTGTAGATCCAATACAAAGTGTTAAAGGAAAAGTGGTGATTGATGCTTTTCGATTGATCAATCCACAGACAATGATGCTTGGTCAAGAACCAAGGCAAACAACATCCAATCTGGGGCATCTAAATAAACCATCCATTCAAGTTTGTTACTCAAAGCCCCATTTCTTTTTTATATCTATACTATTGCTTATATTTTGAAGCCATTATTTTACACTTTTATTTTAACTACTTTTAACCTATGTTAACTGGCCCTGTTTAGGCATTGATCCATGGGTTGAACCGGCATTACTATTCCATAGCCATTAATTACAGGAAGAATGAACTTGAGGAGAAGATGTTGCTTAATCTTCACAAGAAGAAATGGACCGATGGTTTGACACTTCATCACTTTGATACACATTCCAAAACTAATGAACAAACTGTACAGGTAATTTGAGGATTCAGAGTGTAAGGTAGATTGGTGCGGTCAGATTATTCAAATATACTTGCTGCTGCCTATAATTTTTATTTATTTATTTATACTGGTTTAAAGATTTGAAAATTGGCCCAATATCTTTAGTAGATTAGATTCTGATAGATCTCAATTAATTTGATACTGCAGGAAATGCTGAACTTAGCTATCAAATACAACAAGGCTGTTCAAGAGGAAGATGAGCTGCCCCCGGAAAAGCTTGCAATAGCAAATGTGGGAAGACAAGATGCCAAGAAGCACCTTGAAGAGCATGTCTCAAATTTGATGTCATCTAACATTGTTCAAACTCTCGGAATGATGCTTGACACTGTTGTCTTCTAGAGTTGTCAAATTGGACCTTCTGGTTTCTCTAGCGTGAAGTGGAGGCAAGTTAATTCATTACAATTGCTGTTTCCTAATTCTTCTCAAAACTATATTTGAAGGCAGATGTATTCTTTGGACGAGCTGAAAAGGTCAAGAAAGTTAAACTTAGCACACAGTAGTTTGTGCGATGTCTTCCTTAATATTACTGGTTATCTTTTAATGTTATCGTATTCTAGGATTTTATCTTTATAAAATTGTCTTGACCAAAACAAAATGTCAGCTATGTTTCAAAATACCGTAAGAAACAGTTAATGTTACACGAAGATATACTGAAATATCCACCCACGATACGTAGCCCCTTATGAACTACTAACAAATGAAAGGTCTAAATTAAGCCACGCTAGCTGAAAATATGGTCTTGAAACTAAGATGTGGGTTTAGATTACAGGAAGATTAAACCTAACATATGCAGCGTAATTGAAGCTCTACTACAATGCTGCTTTACTCGTACGTACAACTAAACTAGAGAGGTTTTGTAGCCACGTTGTGGTACTTTCTTAAAAGTAGCCCATATAAGATCAATGTATAGCGGAAATTGAGCCAAGGCAAAAAGTGTCACTGGCAGGCATGTGACGGCATATACAGGATATGCAATAGTTCTGAGTTTATCCTTGAGCACAAAGAAATGGGCAGCACAGAAAGTAACCATCATGGAGGTAATGGACATGAACAACGATGTCAAGGCCAAGATAAGTTTCCTAGGAAGATTTTTACCAAAATCTTGCTCTTGATACCGAGATGTAAGTATTGAGAGGAACAACACCAACGAGGTGACAGAACAGCAAAGGGCAATGAGTGATGCAATGGCAAAGGCTCTGAATTCTGGCCTTTGTTCAAGGGTTGGGGAGCCCGTGCTTTCTTGGACGCCACCGGGGACGGTGGTGGATGTGGAGAAGGCCACGGTGGCAATCAGTGCTGCTACAAAGGAGCATGATTCAGAGGTTTTCTTTAACCATTCCCCACCGCTTTTGACAAGGTCCTTGTGAGATTCGCTGAAGATATCTCTTGGTGTCTTATTTTCCTTGTTGTATCGCCGAAAAAAATGTGGTTGCATTGATTCCTTAACAAACTGCATCTCATCAACAGTTGAGGTCACTGAGTGAATATGTTTCAATGACCCCAGCAAAAAAAAAAAGGGATATGATTTTACAGGGATAATTGGTTTCAATTTATCAACCCAATGAAATACTACATTTGATTTTAATTATTGATTTAGAATCAGTTTAGATAAACAACTTAAGTATATATTTATTTAATAATTTTTTATTAAATAAAATTTATTTAAAGTTTGATTATAAGACTTTTTTAAATAAATTAAAAAAAATTATTTTAATATGATTATCTTTAAAAATTATTAAAAAAACTAGAAACAGGTCATAAGTTATTATCTTATGACCTAAAGAAGCTTCTGTAAATGCTTTCTTAATACATTTTTTTTATATAATCACTTAAACAACACCGTTTGTTTCTTAAACGTTTTAGTGAGTGTAGGTTTTAAGTTTAACATTTATCTTAACTTCCTCTCCAATTTTCTATACTATGTTTCACTGTCACCTGCATTATTTTTCTTCCTATTTCTATCCACTTTTCCCCTCTTGATTGCCACAATGGTTGTCCCCCTTTTCAGTTTACGAAACAAAAACAACTAAGTTTCAAACAGGTCTTTTGTTATTATTATTTTTATTTACTTTTAACTTGTTTCTAAAGCTTTTAGAATGGAGCATTCAAACAAGCGTATTTAATTTATCTTAATCATATATAAACTTACCAAGTACCACTTGATTTCCCAGTGCATCTGCAGTGCTTCGCCAGGAATAAGCCAAGGTTTATAGTCTCCAAGCTTGGCTGCCAAGTGCAATGCACTGTTTCCCTCGTTATCCACTTTCCTGAATATACTTTCCTTCATGCCTTTCCTCTTGAGTAAGAACTCATATAAGTAGGTTTGCCTGTTCTCTACTGCCAACAGAACTATATTTTTCTTATTGGCATCCATGTCATGAACAGCTACAGGAAACAATTCCATGATTCTCTCTACCATTTCTGTCACACCATTCTTTGCTGCTATTAATATTGGTGTTTCTACCTTCCTTCCTCCATCTTTCTCATCTCCTGCACATAAAAGTAAGCCAAATAACAACTATAGTGTAACAATTAACGCTAATCTAATCATCATAGCTAAAAAAAAACAAAAACTGAAGTTGAACCACTAATCTAAACATTGAACTGAATAAAGTTTTACCATTCTTTTGTTGCTTGGGCTTTCCTAAAGTGGTAGAATGTTGCTGCTCTTCGGTGATACCAGCAAGAGTAACATTACCCCTCTCATCAAAATCATAAGGGCCTGTCTCAGAAGTTTTATCCACTAAGTTTTGCCGGGGTTTGTTGCCATCATAATCATACTCATATATAGAAGCTCGCTTCAGCAGTTCATCCATTATTTGAGAAGACCAGACGTGTTTTTCCTTCTTCCGCCGTATCTTCTTTATTTTGCTTGACCCTTTCGTAGTTTTTATTCAATAAAAAATACCACATTATTTTGGATTAATGTCATTATTATCAATAAAAAAGGACCCCAACAAAAGATTTATATTTTAGACTAAAAAATAATCTTTTTGGTCAAGAGTTTTATTGTTTTAGTTTCTTAATAATAGAAATTATTTAAATAAAATAAAATTTATGAAAACTAAACCTAACAATAAAAATAATCAAGGTCAAATTTTATATATTTATAAGACTAAAAGCATTTTTTTCTTTTTAAATGCTCGTACAAATACCTGCAGTCAAATTAAAGTTTGTCTATGCGTAAAATCTCTTGTGAGCGTAGTAAAAGCTCGCTCTCGAAAAATTATGTGCATACTCATAGGAGAGGCACAGTGGGCAAATATGAAAGTACGTACATGATTCTAAAGATAAAATATGTTCATGGAGACATACCTCTTCCAAAGATTACCAACATTACCAGAAATACAAACTTGAAGAAATCCGCACAGCTTTTGTAATTGGATGGAAATAACGGATGCGACCAATCTCTGGTTTCTGGTCCAAAACAAATGACCCGACAGGGTAATGAGATTCCTAATCCATTGTCTTATGTTCTCTTAACCATCATTTGTTTCTTCCTACTATAGTTCCTCCCAATGCCTTGGGATTTCCATACCAATTACGGTTGTGCCAAAATCAATCATAACGCATATGAATTGTACTAAAACTTTAGTCCTCACCTGAATATTTTCTTTTGGCTCCGTTTGTAGCCACCTTTTTCGATGCTTCAAGGTCTCTTTCAGTTCCAGTTTGATCTTTTCGTTGCATCTTATTATTTAGAAATTGTGTCAAAGGGTTGGTCACTGGGTATGTGCAAAATGAATCAAATCCCAGTTACAATAGGAAGTTGTGGTTCTTAAATGATATCGAATGATAAGGTGAAGTTTTGAACAATAATTTTAGGCTTAATCTCTCTAATTTGGATCCTATGTAATTTTAATTTCCCAAATTTTTTTATTTAATTAAGCATTGTATTTTAAAATTATGCAAATGTAATTTTTTATTTTTTTCTTGTTAAAACCTTCTAATTATTATTTTCTATCTAAATCTTTGAGAGTTTATAATGAAATTGAGATATAAAATAATTTAAAAAATTCAGATTCAAGAAATTTGATGAAAACTTAATAAAATAAAAATAATTTTTTAAGTTTTTTTTTTGAAAATTATTTTGTGTTGGGTGAAAGTTAATGGTTTATTGATGAAATTTGAGTAAAAAGTAATTTAATAATTTTAATTTGTAAATAATTTAAGTAAAACAAATAGAATTTGAGAGTCTTATAATGAATAAAATTAATTAAGGATCAAAATTGCTAAATTTTAAAAATATGCTTAGTTGAATCTGAAACAATTTTAGAGATCAAAATCACAGTCTAAATTAGAAAGACAAAAAATACGATTGAATCATAATTTTAGGTTTAATTGTATTTTTAAATTAATATTAAGCATATTTTTATCTAAAATTCATGTGAAAATAATAGTGAGAATGCCGTGGGTTTATTCCACAAAATATAAATGTTTTGTATGTTCTTTTATATATATGTATATGTCTGTGTGTGTTTTACGTACCAATCAAGGCTGACTGTTTTATCGCTCTCAAAAACCTCATACATGTCTCGTAATTTTCTGGATAACAATTCTGGCTTTTGTTTGTTGTTGAACATCGCTGCAGAAGTTTGGGTGCTACTTCAAGCTTCTTGACGATCATACCTTCCAAATAAATAATATATATTATGATTTTGAATAATAAAGAATTACATATAAAAATCACTACGTTCTTTAAATTTTGACAGTAAAAGCTAATTCGTTTTTCTGCTTGCGAGCAAATTAATTCACTCTGGTAAAGTTTTTTCAAGTGAATATGAAAGGATCTAATAAAACTAATCTTGTTTTCATTAACTAAAAGCAAAAAAAAAAAAGGCGCCTCCTCCTTATCTAATGTGTATGGATGTGTGTTCCTAAATGAGTATTGTGTTTGAAAACATTGCATTGCAAGTATAAAATTTGATATAGAGGTGGAGAGAGAGGTCAGGGTAAATTGCAAGTGGGTGATTTTGCATTTCAAGTCCTTTCAGTTAATTTTTAGAGAAAAAATATTGTTAAAAAAATTAAATAAAATTTTTATTACGTACAGAAATCCCTTTAAACACAAAATAAACTATATAAATACACACTAAATTATAGTAATTGATTAAATAAAGATATTACTATATTATAATTGATTAGACTAATAGTCTACGCATTAACTTTTACATCTAAAACATGGGTTATATGGTTAAGTACAGCGATGCTATATATTTAATGATAAAGTGCTGCATGAGCAGGATATTATGGATCTTAATTCTAAACTTAGTTCTAATTAAAGGAGCAATGTGATAACGGAAGTTTGACCTGAGTAACAAATTCAACATTATATCTAAAGTCTAAACATTATAACAAATTGTATTAATTTAAGATTAAATAGTACCTCATCTGTATATTAACAAAAAAAAAAGTTTGTAAATTATATTATATTTTTATTATTAATAATGAATAGTTTATTTTATTAAATAAAAAATTGAAGGAATAAGATTTTTAAAATTGAAGAGAAAGTTATAAAAATAAATTATTTAAATCAAGACACATTTTTTTATTAATATGATGTGTCAAAGTTTTAAAATTAAATTTAGATTAATTATGATTATAATAAATTTACAATTTTAATCTATCTAATTTTTAAAATTTGATATGATATATAAAATTGTAATTTTTAAATTTAAATTAAACGTAAATAGACTAAATTTAAGTAGTAATGCTTGAGAAGAATAAAACATTATAAATAGAAAATAAAGTTAGGTTTTCAGTACAAAAATTGTCATGTAGCTTAATAAAAATAAAAATTACTCGTAAAAATGTTTATTCAAGAATAAAAATTTATATTTATAATATATTAGTGGATATTTTTAAGTACTCGTTACATTTGGAATTATAATACCTATGTGATGACTTAAAAAAAACTATTTGATTTATAAAAAAAAAATCCAAAATAAGTTTTCATCTTTTTTTTTTTTTATAAAGAAACTTTTCTGGGTCTTTAATTTTACGTTATCCCTTGCGTATTCTTTTATGATAGCAAAGAGTTGAGGAAAACTTAATAAATTTGAGAATTTCAGTGGTATTATTATTATTATTATTATTATTATTATTATTATTATTATTATTATCACTTCCCGTGATAAACAATTGCTTCAAACCGTCCAAGGCGGCTACCACTCTTGAAAACGGAAGGCTTACTTGCCAGAAGATGAAGGGGAGATTCTCCCCTCTCGTTTACTCTGTTTACAAGTTCTCCATCTAACTGAATTATTTGGAATGCCAAATCTGGGAAATCAATCAATAAACAACTCAATTATGCCATCCATATAACCAATAATTCATTTAAATTACCAACTCTTTCTTTCACCTGTTTTTTCTTTATTTTTTATATTTTTTTTTAACCTAACTCTTAATTGCCTTTTCCTTTTAGTTATAATATCATTTCACTGTCCATTGTCCAGTTTTCCAAAAGATTTGGTGTTTAGTTCACATATGCACCACACACCGTTACCAAAAAAACACACTACACAGTTACTACATACGACGCGTAATGTATTTTTAGGGAACATGAATAGCATTAAAATGAATTTATGCTTAAATAATTTCATTCAATCTAAACACATTTTTAATTTAACAAGTTAAAGATTTTTTTAATCAATTAAATAAAATGCATAACTTATATATATTATTTTTAGGTGTTATTAGTATTATTTATCATTTAAAATTGACGTTTTACATTTAATATTATGACAGAATATTAATAAAAAATTAATTTTACTACAACAAATTTTATAAAATTATAGCAAAGTTTCGTTATAAACAAACACATCATAAGCAGAATATATCACAAAATTCAAATTTATAAAACTGAAACTTCACGTTTAACTAGTTTAATTTAAGACTTTTCCTGCTCCATTATTCTCACATTGGTTTTGAATAATAAAATCAGACGTAAAATTCTGTAAAATTCAGCATGCAAAGGTAGATGGAATAAAAAGAAAAGAGAAGAAAATAAAAAACATAACGTTACCAAAATAATCTCCAGCAATTGCAGAATGAAGAATGGTTTCGCCGTCGTTTCTTCTAGAATTAGAATCGTAGGCGGGATTTGGGTTGGTGCGGTAGCTGATAGAATGAAGCGAAAGGAATGCATCTTTTCTACCATTAAGAGAAGCCAAAAAGAGAGGGGTTTCTCCATCGATGTTGCGAACGCTCAACAACGAAGCATCTGAGGAAGCAATGCACTCACAAATTTGCACGCTCCCCATAGAAGCCGCGAAGTGCAACGCAGTGTTCCCTCTCTCATTCTGAATCCGCAAACCTTCTTTGTCCCCACAATTACAAATCAGTTTCACCAGTTCTTCAACGACGTCGTCTTGCCCATCCGTCACCGCTATGTGCAATGCAGTCTCACCCGTCCTCGTTATTTTCGTCACGCGAGCCATCTTATCCCTCTTGTACATTTCAACTGTTTTCTCCCACTTCCCTTTCATGCAAAGTTTGAACAATCGCTTGCTTATTTTTTCTACCTCCACACTCTCATCTTCGCTCTCCATCACTCTCTCATCTTCACTCTCCATCACTATTCTCCCCTTTTCCTAACTAACATATGTTTCCTGTTTTGGACATATTATATGTGTGCGCCCTCCTTCACCTTTTTCTAATTTCCTCCAATTTTCTTGCTTCCTCGTTAAGTAATTCTTTCAACAGAAAGTGACCAGACGAAGAATGAAGAATATTTTCTCCATTTTTTTTCTTTTATAATCAGCCCCACAAGTATATGTCCTTCTAGCCTCTGCCCAATTAACTCTAAACTTTCCTCTGTTCATATATTCTCCAACTTTTTTTTTCTTCACTCAGTTTCCATTAAAAATCACAACAGTACATATTTGATAAAGTAATAAGGGATATATATTTGAAGAAGTTATGTATTATATAAAAAATAGTCCATAATTTTAAAATAAATTATAATTAATTTAATGTCATAAAATCTCACGTGATCAAAATTAATTTAATGTTGAACTTAAAGTTTTTAAAAATTTAATTTAAACCTTTAAAATTAATAAATTTATAAAAATATTATATTAAAATACTGAAGTTATCAAATTTAATGCTGTGGAGGGAATATGAATAACGATTGGGTGCTTTGGGTGAGTATCGATGCTGAGTCGCTCCTCCAAGCAAAGTCATTAATGGCATCTTCAACGTGTTAACACGCGCACCCATAACTTCGGTCCCTTCCCCTCCCCCAAACTCGCATGTTTGTGTTAAAACAAAGAATTTAAGACTTTGTCTATTTAAAAATCCTCATGTAATTCAAGCTCTAGATAATTTTTTATGTCGAATAAGGTTTAATGTTTTCACAAAAAGTGTTTATTGAGTAAAAAAAAGAAAAGATAATTGAAGCTATTTTTGCTCAATCTTTTCATCAAATTAAAGCTGAAACAAACATAACATCGTCAAGCACAAAACAATCGCCCACACTTATGCGTGAGTTTGTTCAGCCTTCTTTCAGATAACGTACACAACGTGAAAAGAGATATCGAAATTGCATAGATTTCTAAGAGTAAATGATAAGCAAAAAAGTTCCACGGTTAAGAGATACAAAGTGAAATTTATCCTATAATAACTTTTTTTAAAAGAAAAGAGCGAAAACAAATCACATCGTGTAAAAGCAGAAAAAAAAAATACTGATATCACCACACGTGTACATAAATTAAGAATTTAACTGTTAATTGATATTTTACCACTTTATTATGGTTTAACAAAAGATATATTATTTAAAACATTACTAGTAATTATTGTTGGATTATATGTTTATAAATATTTAAATTATATAAAAATTTATATACTTAATTTTCATAATAATATTATAATAATCAATTATGGATTAATAGAATTTATATATTCAACATGTGTGTATTTTGCTTTCTATATAGATTGGTTTTCATATCATTAAATTACGAAATACTTGTATTAAATTGATTTAATTTTTAACATTTTTTGTTGTGTTATTTCCCGTGCTTAATCTTATATCTTTATCAACATATTAAAAATATCTCTGAACAAAAAAAATTACTTATTAATTAATTATTTAACATTAAATTAACTTTCATTGATATATTTTAACAAAAAATAAATTACCAGAACAGACGTTAAGTTTATATTAACAATATATTATATTAAACAAATAAATAATTTTATGAATATAAAATATTTATACATTATATTAATGCATCAACTATTAGTATCATGCATCACAATGTTAACATAAAATTTTAAAATTTATTCTAATAATAATAATGTATTTTTATTCGATAAAAATTATATCAATGAAGTCAATTTTAATATTTAATATTTGTTTAACAAATGATGACTTTTTTCAAAATGTTAATGTATGTCTTATATTATCATCTATTTACGGGTTTATAAATATGATTCCTATTTCCTAATCAAGTCATATGTCAAACTATGTAGCGACTCAATTTAGTTCTTAGTAATAAATCTATATTGAAAACGATGATATCTAAAAGAAAACGATGCATAACATTCATTATCAGAAAAAAATTAATATTAGTTTCACGTTTGTCCCTCATTGTTTCCCATTTGTTTAAAATGATTTAAAAAATTATTGTATTTTTCCTAAAATAATTTAATTATAAAAAATATATAAAATTCTAGTTGAAAATGCAAACAATGCACAATGTTTCTTAAATTTGACATCCTCCAACATCTTTTAAACTCCAGGAATGATTATTAATAGTATGTTTGATTTCTATTTCTTAAAACAGTTTTCTATTTTTAAAAATAAAATATAATACAAATTATTTTTAAAATAGAAATCAAACATGCTTTAGAGATTTTGTGCTGTATAATGGTCAATTTAGACCTTTCTATATCTAGATAACTGATTAGAGGCAAATTATGAGGCTAATTTATAACAATACATGTTTCCTAATTCTCCTAAAACTATATATGAATTTTGAAGAGAGATCTTCTTTGGACGACCGAACTGAAAGGTCAAGAAATTAACAAAACTCAGGTGATCAGCATACACTAATTTGCGTGATGTCTCTCAGTTTTGCTACCTAGCTTCAAATGTTATTGCAGGAAAAATATGTCATCTATGTTTGAGAATACAGTAGCAGTTCATTCTCATACGGACAGGTAAAGTAGAGTTGGCATTAATTCCCCATTCCAAATAATATTTTTTTATAAAAAAATAGAATGAAATAAAAAGAGTGTTATTAGTGTAGTAAAAATATAAAATGCTGATATTTATAAATAGTTTGAAAATATAAAAGATGGATACTTTATATTTGACAGCAGCAACAGTACTTTTTTTTAACTATGCATAATTTGAATTTGTGCTGTAAGTGCACCTTTATAAATGGTGTAAATATTGACAAAATATAAAATTAAAACTTATTTTTAATACTTAAAAAATGTAAAATTTAATTACAAAGAATTAAAATGAATAAATTAGACATACATTAAAATAACGAAATTAAAAATATAAAGAAGTCAATATTTATTCTGACATTATTTTCCGAATCTACCTAGATATATTATTAAAATGTGATGCAGAAGGAGGGAAATTGTTTAAGAAATTAAAAATAATGTTTTTCTATTTTTTTAAAATTAGAATTACCTCTTTCTCTCTCTTCTCATTTTATCTTTTTCTATTTTATAAAAAAAAATGTACAACAAAATTATTCTACAAATAGCAATTCTCTAGACCAAGTTCCAACATAATCGAAGCTCAGAATCCGAATGGACCCGCCAAATTCAGTTGAAGAACATCAAGACGACGACGTTTTCATCGACGCAATTCACCCCTGCGCCGTTGAGGACTCGCCCGAACCTTCTGATTCCGCTTCCACGCTTTCGGATCCTCTGCCCCCTTCACCCGAACCTAAATCATACTCTCCGGCGGCCACAATCCGGCGACGGCGAGTTCGTCACGGTTTTCCGGTTAAGCAATCGTCGGAATCGAGTATCGAGAGCGATTTGATCCATGGCGCGAGAAAGAGCTTTCAACACGAACCAAAGCATAGAAATCTCAAGCAAGATGAGTATTCGATTGAGAAACACGATTCGGATGAAGCGCAACGAGTTAGCGCTTCGTCAGAAAAAAACAATGACGAATCCACCGTAACTACAGCAGGGAATGATGATGCAGCTTGCGATTCTGCTGACTCGGCGCCGCGACTCGGTGATTCGTCTCCGAATTTTCTTGAATTCATAGCGGGGATGGTGATTAAGGCACTAGGGTTTCAAATCAAGTTAATATTCATGTTCGTGACTTGTCCGTTGTTTACCATGTTTCATTTGTGCATGTTTTTCATAGATCCTTTGGGGACAACAAGGAGGGGCAAGAATTTCTTGATAGGGATTTTGAGCAGAGTGTGGAGTTTTGTGTTTGGGTGCATTAGACCATATGTTCAGAGATGGTTCAAAGAGGATGAGACAATTTGGAGCGTGGCATTTCGTTGTGGATGGGGTTTCTTGTGGTCAATCTATGTTTGTTGTGTTCTGTTTGGTTTGTTAGTTTCATCGTTTGTGTTTAGTGGGTTTTTGATGAAGTGTTTGGTGGAGAAGCCAATTCAGATAAGGGAAGTTTTGAATTTTGATTACACCAAGCAAAGTCCCGTGGCATATGTGCCAATAATATCATGTGCTGGTGTTGTTGGTGGAAAAGGTTCTTCTGAGAACAATGTTGATGTTAGGAAGTGGGTGGGTGAACGGGTTATTCCTTCTAAGCACAAGGTGCAAGTCACTCTTTCATTGAGAGTGCCCGAGTCGGGATACAACAGAAACCTTGGGGTCTTTCAGGTGCCTTTCTCTGTCTGATTTATTGCAATGTAAACATAATTTGGCTTGCCATCAACTTCTCTGCAAAACTTCTTTTACTCTCTTCTTGTGTAGTTTTACTTGTTCGACATCTTCTCTGAATTTCAATTCATAGGGGGTAAGTCCAAACTGGTTTCTAGTGGTACTTCTTGTCAACTGATTGCCGTTGATACTAGACATATGAAACTATACAGGAGTTGTATGTTTTTGATGTCATTCTACTTGAAGTCATATTTAGATTAAAAGGAAAAATAGGGAGAATTTGACATAAATTGTTTTTAAAAAATTCTACTTAAACAAGATTTCAAGTTCAAACCTTGTGTATGAAGAAGAAAATTCTACTTAAAAAATTCTGTGAATGTTCTCAATTCAAACGGGATTACTTTATATGGAGAATATCTGTGATTCTAGACTAAAAGTTGTGTTTAAAACATTTTTGTTTTGGCTCTATGAATTGGTTATTCAGTGATAAATTTTGTCATTTAGTTGAATGAATTTGTTTATAATATGGCTACAAGGAAGGATGTTCATCTTCTAATGAGACATTGTACGTTACAATGCTAAAATAGGGACCTCTGATGGGGAATTAATTAGCTAACCGTGGCAACTACTTTTGACTTTTGAAGGTGGGTTCTGTGTGGAAACTTAATTTAAGGGTTTTGAGGCAACTCAGTGATCTGAAGAAACTCTGCTAGAGACTCAAAAACATTTATTAGGCCTTTGCATAATAGCTCAAACTTTTAGGTGAAGTAGTTCGTTGGCATGTTATGTCTGTTTTCGCTATGGTTATCATCTGTATGGTGCAGGTGTTCTAAAATACTCCTAGTCCAAGAAGGGACTTAATTGTACTTGTTTGATAGCCTATTGAATATGATTTCTTCATGCATCTTAGTGCATGCTGTAAAATGTCATTGCTTTGTAATTTGTATCATACTTAGAGAAGTAGAACTGCTGATGGTGATTACAGTTTATTGTTTCCTGTTACTTGCTTTTGAGTTTCTTCTTTGACTTCTGTTCTTTTATAGACCAGGGTCGATTTTCTGTTGTCTAATGGTAAAACTATTGCAAGCTCAAGTCAACCTTGTATGTTAAGATTCAGAAGTGAGCCTATCCGCTTAGTCATGACTTTCCTCAAGATTGCTCCTCTTGTTACTGGCTATATATCCGAAACCCAGACTCTGAATGTCAAGATGAGAGGTTTTGTTGAAGGGAATATACCTACTTCGTGCTTGAAAGTGACACTTGAGCAACGAGCAGAATATCAACCTAGCGCTGGCATTCCTGAAATATATGATGCATCTCTGATTGTTGAATCCGAACTTCCCTTTTTCAAGAGGATTATTTGGCTTTGGAAGATGAGCATATTTATATGGATCACTATGGTGGCATTCTTCACGGAGTTACTTTTTGCTCTACTGTTTTGTAGACCTATAATAATTCCGAAAACAAGGCAAAGGGTGACTTCTGCACGTCGTCATGCAACCTTGAACAGTCATCAGGCACGAAGTTGAGACTACTACTTTTCCAGGCATCGCTACAGTCATGGAAGTTAAGGTTTTTGTATGACAGTTTAACCTAGCTTGGTCTGACATGTAATCTATGTCGAGGCATCCTAACATCTATTTCCTTTTTTGTTTTTTCCTGTTGTATTTCCTTTGTACACGTTTAATAGCACATATGTATAATGTAATTTTAGCTAACCTCTAGGATGTGTGACACTGATTAATAGAGGACTCGTTGTTGGTCTATTCCTGTATCTGTTCACTCCTGATTGCATTGAGCCGTATGGATAACTTAAAATTTATATACTATGTTCAAATGAATATACAATTTACCCCTTAAGGTCCATGATATAATTTTTTTTATTAATTTCAGTTATCCGAAGGCTATTTTCTATCTCGACTAATTTAGAGTGGGGCTGTGTGATTTTATTTATTTATTTATTTACAATACTCAAATCCAATACGGGATGCATGATTGCTTTTGAGTTATTTTATATATTTTTTTAATAACAGATTATATCCGGAACAAAATAAACTAATGTACTATGAACTTAATGGGTTCTCTATACATTTTTGCAAGCAACTTGTTCAGGACGTTGGATATGTTTCTTGCCAATTTTGACACTCTGAGCTCCGATTTTCAGCGAATTACACGAGTCATAACTATGGAATGAATAATTGTATATGAATATTTTAGAGGGTTGAGTGAAAGCATGTTTAGTTAGTTAAATAGAAGGCTTATTTTACTTAACTAGTATAATGTGAAATTAAAATTACGTGTTTGATGTAAATTTTAAATTATTTACGTAATTAGTATAAGTTATATTTCTTTTTTTAATAAATTAGTAAGTTGTATATGTCATACGACTTTTATATTTTAATTTAAAATAAACATATAATTGCAATAATTTGTATGTATTTATTTTAAATAAATATATGCACATTATTAATAACACTGACCATATAAAAAGTTTAACATTGACAATACAGCAAAATTAAACTTTATTTTACACATTACTAGTAACACTCATGTAGTGTAAAAATCCCAACACTAATAGTACATCAAAGTTAAACATTATTTTATTTAAAATAAATACATATATACTATTAGCGATTGTGATATAAGTTTAGGACATGGTCAAAGTGACTATGGGCTTTCTACTTTTTTATTCTTTTAATGATACATTTTAAAATAATTTTTTTAAAACAAAGAGTGCTAGCAAAAGAACTTAACTAATTCAACTCTAAAGCTTTGTTTGGATGCGAGGTAAAACTGAGAAAAGAAATAAGATGTTAAGAAATAAAGTAAAAAATATTTAATGTTCGGATGAATTGAAATAAGAGAAAAAATAGCAAATAATTGAGTTATATTAAAAATATTTATAAAAATTAAATTTAAGTTAAACATTTATTTTTTATTTTAATTTTTTCTTGATAAAATTAATTTTTAAAAATAAAAAACAAAAATTTTAAAATAATCTCTGTCAGTCGTCTTTCTGCAGCATAAGGGGTAGGAAGAGGGAGAGATTGTGGTGGGACTCAGAAAAATAAACTCCCCTCCTCCTCCTCCATTCCAATTCCTTCCTACCTTTTTATTTCACCTCATTCAAACAATCCTCAACTCAAATCTAGGTAGGTTAAGACCATCAAATTCCATAGGACAAAAACCCACGAGATCATGCCTTTGTAGGCCCAAAATTATTATTATTATTAAGCTAAAGTTAGAGCCAAGACCAAATATGCACATCTTTGAATGAAATAATTCATTTATACTAAATGAAAAAAAAAAAAATACATTCATACATCATAGGCAAACCACACTTCATAAAATGGGAGAGCATATTTATGTGATTTATTTTTTAATTTTTTTTATGATAGACAAATAAGAAATGCAGTGCAAATACAAAATAATATAAAAACATGAAAAAATATTCTTCAATTTTTTGTTGGTCTTCAATTTGACAAAATAGTACAGATAACTTGGAACCTGTCACAATATTATATGACATAAAGCATAATTGAACTCATATAAATATAGGTAAATAATATAAAATTAAAAGTAAAACCATAACATATTAACTAAATATAATCAATTTAAATGAATCTTAGATAAAGTAATATTTGTAGTAAAAAAGCAACTATTAAAAAAATCAATTAAGAAAAATTTAAATTTAAGCTCTTATTTTTCTTTTTAACCCTTTAATTGCAATTGCGGACATACAAATGCAAAAAATAAATAAATAAAGTGGCAATTGGGCACTAACAAAAAAGGGTATTGTCTTCAAAATTTCATGACATAAACAAAGTCGGGTTCTAAATAAACAAAGCATGCACACACCAACAGAATCAGTGTATTAGTGCATTTCATTCATGTGATTGTGATAATTTTTTACGCAAGCTATGTGAACAATTCAGCCGTATATGATCTTATCCTCTCTTGATGAGTCACTGCAATTTTGTGGATAAACTTATCGCTATCATTTTCACTTTTTATCATCAAATTCGTGGCCAAAATATTTCATCCCATGTTTCCCTTGAAGGCTTCACATTTAACAATCTTTTTTTTGGTTCAACATTTACAAATATATGATATGATGCCTATAATCTTCATGTCGTAGATAGTTCGCTACATGCATGTAATTCTCAATTACTAATTACATGCTAAATCTATATCTCTCCAAATAAAAACTAGCTTAAATTTTTTATATTTCATTTCCTAGCAGTTTCCTGTATCATTTATGTATATTTCTGTAAATTATTATTTTGATGTCAAAGCATTAACACTTAAATTAACAAGATACAACTTCAGGTCAACATATAAAATATATACAAGAATTTATATTTTATCAATCTTATTTTATAAAGGCAGCTGTTTAATATTATTGATTTTTAAATATTAATTGAATATAAATAATTAACGTACAATAAATTTATTAATCAAATAATGAAATAAAAACATAATTTTTTAATATACTGTTAATATAAATGTTTTTATACATAGATAATATCAAAATTAAACTCTTAATCAAATCCTTCTTACACATAAAAAAATGATAAATAACTTTAATTAATTGAGTAAGTTAGGATTTAACTTGATTAAATTTATGTTGGTCTTAACACCGAGAAGTATCTATTCTTGGATTAACAATTGTCACCTGAATCCCACCACTTCTGACTCTTCCGTCGATATCAAAATCTGATTGGTACCGCCTTTGAAGAAAGAGATAATGAAGTGATACTGGTCAAGGTCCCATTTGGTACATTGATCTCTAGAATTGCGATGTTGTTGTTGGTTTTTTTTTTTCCAGAAAACATGGGTCATAAATTGAATTTTCTCTACGAATTGAAGAAGATGAAATTGTTGGATCTTATATTATATAAGTTAATATATGGTTAAAAAAGACTTTTTATATTATACAATATATTAAAATTCAACTAAAAGTAAATTGTCTATTAATATTTTATTTAAATGAATCAACTATACAGATAAAAATAATGACACATAAAAATTAAGTTTATAGCATTGTGAGGATCTAAGGCTCTCGCAAGACCCCTCCTAACTAAATCTGTCCCTAATTACTGGATACATATTATTATTAATAAATTTATTAATCTTGGGTAGAGACTTATTTCTTGTTATTGAATATAGATTGACGGTATAAGTTTTTTTAGGCCTTAGGAAATTTTTAGTTCTCTACAGAATATTGTAAGCTATAACAAAACAAAGTTAGTTGAATGAATATAAAAATAGTAATTTGTTTTTGCAAAGTATTATTATTTTCATTTTTATTCTATCTGATAATGTTAAATAGTTTATTGCCAAAATTCCACGCCACACCTATTGCTCTAGACACCAAACGAGTCCTGAGCATGTGTCTGTGAATTGTATTTTCATTCAGGCCACGTAGGCTTTTAAGGTACATTAACATTTACCTGCATTTAATTTATGGGTATAAATATAATTCAGTTTAGTCCCTTACTTTCGTGATTTGGCAATATTATGATAAGAAATTGAAGAGGTGTGGTTTATTAAGGCGTAAATTCAAATTTGCATGTAACAACTTCATGTAATTTAAAAAAAAAACACGTAAATGATGCATGGATATGGAGAAACTGTGTTTTTCATTTCCTCTAGCTGTACATTACAGGGTTATTTGGCACTCTAAATAAGAGAATCTTCCTTACATTAACCCCAATGCATATGGTGCTCTTCAAAAATAAGAAAAAGGAAGAAAAAAGAACATTATTGCATTTGGTGTTAAATCACTGAGCTCCATTTCCACGTTCTGCTCCTTTGAGGAAAGAGGCACTCATGGTGATCTCACGCACAGGCTTATTTGTGTACCTAATGAAATTGTAGGTCCATGTACCCGCTACAGCTCCTAGAGTTGGTGACAGCAAATATATCCATATTCCACTGTACTTATGGTGCACAATAGCAGGCCCCAAGCTTCTTGCTGGGTTCATTGAAGCTCCAGTGATTGGCCTATCAATAAATGTATAATTTCATGCACAAATTAGTTCTAACTGAATTTTACCATGTTTCCAAAAGGGTGTAACATCTTAATTTTGTTGAATAATTTAATAATATATATTAAAGGCTGAAATGTAAAGGTATATTCGGTTAATTAGGTTTTGAGATAGGTTAATACCCGGCAAACATCACATTTAGTAGTACGGTAGACCCTACAGCAAGCCCTGCCAACTCACCAATCTGCAGAATTTGACAATAAAAGATGAATAAACAAAAGCTATGAAATGGGGGTTGAAGAATATTCAAATATAGATGTTGATATGCATGGCATGTGTCTTCGTCTTGTGATGTAAACTTCTAGCATTTATTCTAAAGGAATACTTAAGATGAGATTATTTATCTATGTAGAGTAACTTATACAATCTCAATTGATTTCAACATTACAACTGTGTCTATTTTGAATTGAGTCAGTCAATTTAATTGACTATTTTTTTATGTCGAAAAGGCCAAAGACATTTGTTATTTGATAAACATATCTTAGTCAAAATGTTTAACTGAAATTAAGACCCAAACCATCACCAAATTAGCAATAATTTTTTGAAAATAAGGATTACCGCTCGGTTATCAGTGGCTACTCCAGAAATGACGAACATGAGGTAGAAAGTGATTATGAATTCAACCACAAAAGCTTGAAGATTAGAACCAGCCGGTAGTGTTCCCGAAAAATGGTCATTCTTCCCATTGAATAAAAGTCTGAGAGTTCCACTAGCAAGGGTTGATCCAATAATCTGAGCTACAACATAAGCCGGTACCTGCAACATAAATGAAGAAAAATTCAGCAATTTAGAACAAATTGAGACTATTATGTGTTTTGTTTGGATATGAACTAGGGTTAACCAAGCTTAAACGACTAGGAAACTAAAGAGAAAGTGCCCAACGAAAGACGCAACGACTTGCAAAGAGGTATTTCATTTCAACCAAAGTTGGCTTTGAATTAGGTCCAAAAAAGGTACCTATCTTGTATCAAAGGAAAATGACAAAATAGTAGTATATTTGGAATTTGACCAAATAACCATATTCTCTATCAATTTAAATTTATATATTCCACCGCACTCTCTTACTCACATTACATTATTATCCATCATATTTATGACTCGTGTCTCTCCTCTCATCTTATCTCAAGGTGTTTGCATTAAAATTCAAATACTTTCCCTGTATTGTATAATTGCTCAACCAATTATAACCAAATTGAAAAAGGAAAAAAGGGTGTAATTGTTAACTCACCTGCTTCAAGGGAAACCTTCTGGTGGTAGCATGAGCAATGGTAACGGCAGGGTTGAAATGAGCACCAGAGATGTGACCAAGAGAATATGCCAATACCATAACAGTGAGTCCCCAAACAATGGAAATCCCAGGATGTGTCACCTCCTTGTCCTTGTCAAGGTTCACTACCACCGAACCACACCCAGCAAATATCAAGAAGTACGTCCCCACCACCTCTGCCACCAACTACATTCATCACACAACTGATTGAATTATTTATTCCTTAGAATAACTAAGACAACAATAAATTTTTTTTGAAATTTTATCATAAAGAACAACTGATTTCTTGAAATCCATAACATAATTTTTTCTAATGGGTTGTGGGTAAAGAAAAGAAAAGATTAGGAGAGACACCTTCTGCAAAAAAGGCGCATAGACCTGAATGCTTGATGAGTCTTCACGCTTTTTGGAGGCGCCGTTTACATGTAAAACCACCTCGTGGCTTCCATTGCTTGCTGAATTATCAGCCATCACCGACACAGAATTAGGATACAACTAAGAGTGCCCTGCTTTGTTAAAGAATGCTATGCAAGCTTTGTCTCCTACAACAAGTGTTGGAGAACCGAGCCAGCAGCTCCAATTTATAGGCACCCTAAAGTCCTAGTAAGGGAGCAGAGAGAGAGAGAGAGAGAGAGAGAGAGAGATTCAGAGATTGGACTTTTATCAATTTTAATTTCCACAGATGGGAAAGGAGATTTGGACCAAACAACCACTTTTAATGTGTCAACATATTTTTTGCGTACATACCCCTTTTAAATTTCTTATTTTATGTTCCACTTTAATCGAATTTTTAGATAAAAATCATTATCTTACATAGGATATATCGATGGAAAGTGAAACAGTATGGGTGGCTTATGAATTGTGAAATGAATAAAGCATTGAAAGCTTATCCAACTAAGCAACTACTCCCCATAAATGCGGAGGGAGCATGAATTTCACTTTACATTAATTTTGGACTAGATTTTGGCTTATTTTTGGGGTCAATTTTAACTCCTATTTTGTCTACTGTTTTAATTGTAAAAAGGATTTGGGGAAGCAAAGTTCGAAAACAAGACAAACTATCCACCCTTTGAATCGTTTTGTTTCGTGGTAAAAGTGGATAAGATCACGTGAATATAACCCTAATTTTAGTACATGCAAGAAACCGAAAATTTGAACTCCTATTTTCTTTCTGTTGTTTTGATTTTTCCTTTACGCATTGCTCTTATAAACCTAAAAGATACATTTTCTTTGTTATCTGATACAATTATGCAACATGTTTTGAATCTTTGCTTTGGAATTTGTCGTTCTTAAATTTGACCCGTCGTGACAAAATGCCACGTCAGCAAAAATAAGAGTTAAGCCAATACGCTAATGACCGGCTTAATTGTATCGACAAAGGAACATAAACATTAACAAAATAAAAATATTTTATAAATAAAGTATTGAATCATTTTTTTTATTGAGAATTATTAAATAATCATTATTGCATCATATTTATAATTTAATTACTTCTTTCAATTCATCTATTTTGTTGTTTAAGGTTGTACACGAGAATTAAGAAATCTTTGATTAATGTATAATTTTATTGTATCTTGACTAAAACATATTATTATTTGAAATTTTATCTATTTTATTTATATTTATTTTACATTTCACAAACTCACTGTTCGATACATGAAGAAAGATGATTAGTGAAAGCATATAATTATAATTGTCAGTTGAAGTTAATATACATAATATTAAATCAGGGTATAATACAAAAAATAATTTTAAATTTCTAATACAACAAAAAGTTTGAAACATAAATAAAAAAAAACAATACAAAAGCAGAGCTTTATTATCCTTCTAATATTTTTCTACTATTTTATAAAATAAGCATGGAATAAAAAATCTTATGCATTTACAATTTTAAAAATAAAAAAAAATATTTAATAATTTCATAGTTAATAGTTTGAAAACTTTATAGACATATAAATTAAAAGTTCTTAGAATTTGAATTATTCAAAAAAGAAATAATGAATGTCTATTGTCATTGTAAAATGTTTATTCCCACTCTTATTTTTATCACTTTTTATTTAAATATTTTTATTAATTTAATTAATCAATAAAAAAATTAATTAAAAATTATTTGAAAAATTGTGACGATTAACATTTTAGAGCAATTGAAGAAAATACAATAACCACAATATTTGACTTTTGAAATTTAAAAGCTAACTTCATCACTAAAGAAATTAGTTTCAAGGATTTTGTTAATTTTTTAAGGTCAAGTATAAGTATTTAAAAATAATTCATACTATTGAATATATGAATTAACTAATAGAAAATTGTTTTACTTAATTTGTAATTTTGAATTTGAGTTTCTTTATAAAAAAGATTTAGCTACTCATAATAGTTATATTTAACTCAAACAAGATTGTTTATTGTAGAAGATACCTTTGGCTCAGACAAAAAATTATAAAAAATGATAAATATTTTTAAATAAAAATTATATTATTAATTACTTAAATTCAATGCTAAAAACTAAAGTTGATTAACATATTTTATAAATTAATTAATAAAATATTTTTTTAGTTTACTTCTATTTATAAAGCACCTTCTAAAAAGTTTTAATAAATTTTTTATAAAGTATCTTATAATTTTTATGATATATTTATTATATTTTATTTATTTATTCTTAATAAATGAAGTTGATGATAACTTAAATAATGATATAATTATATATTATAATATAGAATTTGATGTATTTATAACAAACATTTAATTATTTTTTTTTCATTTATAATATAAGAAAACACTCATTTTTAAATACATTAATTGTTAAATTTTTTATATTTTTATTTAGTATGACATTTGTATTAGTGAGATAATCACTCTTTACTCATTATTAAAGAGAATGGCCAGATCGTCCGTCGAGAGCCCATGATTAACCTATTTAATATCTAATTCGGCTTGGATTATTTATTAAAAATAATAGATTTAGACTTTTAAAAATATCTATTTAAATAAAGAAATGAGATTTAAACTTAAAAAAAAAAAATCTTTTAAGCCTATTGGACAAACATAATTAAATAATTATATTATTTTATAATTTATATTTATTTATTTATAAAAATTTAACATAAATATAATTATTTAAAAAAATTATATATATATATATATATATATATATAATATGTAACATAGAATATAGTAATATTTATACTTTAATAATATAATAATTATAATTATACTATTAGAGTATTAATTAAAATTTATTATAAAAAAATTATCAATTACAATTTTATACATATTAATACATATAACATAATTTAGTATTTAATCTATAATAATTACAATTATACTATTAGAGTACTAAACATAATATTTAAATATAATTATTTATCATATATTTTTTATTTTACTAATAATAAGCCTTTCATTTTATTAGTTTATTGACCTGTTAAATTTAAATTGTTAATATTATTTGAAAACTTTAATGTTAAATAGGCTACTAAATAGGTTATTAGCTAAGGTCAGATTTCTAAAAAAGTTAAGTCAAACATTAAAAATTTGACCAATGTAAAGTTATAAGCTTAAACTAAAGCTCTTGTATAATAAGCTAGACCCATTTAACCTTAAGCATAAATCATTTTCATCCCTACTCATTACTTATGTATGTAAACACATTTATTCAGTTAATATAAACACACCAATTAATATTATAAATATTTTTGGAATAGATGATAAATATATGGATTTTAATAAACTAAATAAGTATTTATCATAAATAGAATTAAAGATAATATTTTAAAAAACTAATTTTAACTATTTTTTATTAATAATTTTGAATTCAACTCCTAAACTTAAAATTTGATAAAAAAAAAAAAACTTTATTATTCGTATTGATATCTACTCAGGCTTAAATTAAAAATCAAACCTAGAAAAAGGTACATCTTTTTGCAGCTTAATTGCATTAACAAAGAATAAAATCACTCAAAAATTAAGAAGACAAAACTGTATGAATTATTATTATATTTTTTAAAATTTTTGCTTTAAATAATAGGAGAAATAAAGAAAAGTATTTGATGTTATGAAAATTTGTAAACTATCCAATAAATTTCTGACAATTTCTAACATTTGTGACACTAAAACTAGCGATAAACATTTTAAAAACGGAATTTATCCCTTTTTATATCTAATTTTTTTAGTTGTGCAAAGACATATAAAAAAAATAAATATATTATATTTTATTAAAAAATTTATAATTCTAATTATGAGTATTATCATAAAAATTAATTATGTGATTATTTACAGTGGAAACTTAATTACAAAAGGACAAACAAAAATAAAAAAGTTAATGATACAGTCTTTTAACTATAAAAATTTCATGTGAAAAGTAACGTTTTTAGTGTGCATTCCTTCAGATTGATGACCTTAGTTTGTGTTTGGATTAATTTATTTAAAAAAATTATTTCTTGACGTCTTAGAAACTCTTTAAAACAATTCTTTCTTGTAAATCGGTAACAAAATATGCATTTGGGTTCACACCTATCATTTGCAATATTTCGAATACAAAAGAGATTTATATTTTTAGGATATTTTCATTTAGTTTATATAATTTTTATGTACGACAAAGGTAAATATTTCAGTCTTTTAATCAGTGTCCTAATAATATTTTTTATTAAAAATTATGAGAATATATGCATTTTCTTGTTATATATATATAATAAAATTTAATTTATTAATTTAAATTGAATTGACAGAACAAGTTACGTATAAAATAATTAATAAATATTACGTGATAATATATATCTTAATTTGTTTTCTTAATATTTATCATTAGACAAATGTTTGCTCCCAATTAATTCACGAGGCAGAGCATTCGAGAACGTGAAAGAAACGGTAAAAGGAGTCAATGTCTAATTCGATGGCTGAAAGTCGTTACCTCATTCCAAGTTGCAACGTACGTCACATGCGGAAGCCCTCCTTTCCCATAAAGCATAAAAAAGAATAATACTATTCTATTTAAAAATTTTATAATACACTTTTTTATCTCTATCATTTTTTCTATTTTATACACAATTTTTCATTTCTTCTTATTTTTTATTGAAAAAATGTTCCAAAATTATGATGTCAAAATAACATCACTCCATAAGAAATAGGATTCGTTTGAATCATGCTGTGGGGCAATTTTTCGAAAGGAAGTTGTCTAACGGATAACGATCCTGCTTTAGAAAATTATAGATGATGGATTATAAAATATACAATAGTATTTTATTTGAAATGAAGAAAATTTTATGCATATAAATCTTACAAGACTGATCGTTTATTTCATATTGCATGCTCCAGCAATTTTATTTGAATTGTAGGGATGCTACTTCTTGGAAACTATTGATGAGGAACTAGTACTTTAAAATTCAATAAAAACAAGTTTAACTTGCATAGCACTAATAAATATGTTATGGGTGTTTATAAATATACGTAACATGTTAAAATTATAAATATAAATGATTAAGAAAACATTTCTTATTAATAATAATTAAAATGCAAAAATAAAATATTTTAAAAAATTAAATATCAAAATTAATTAATTAATTAATTTGTTAATAACTATTCGTAATAAATATCTGGCTATTATACTTGTAACAGATCTGTTAAAATTGAACAATGAGAATGTTAAATTTATATATTATAGCAGTAATTTGAGTGGAATTAAGTCTATTACAT